AATTCTAATAAATATATGCACTTTGTAAACTATTAAAACATATGTGAAATTTATCTCAGATATAAAATATTTTCATTTAAATATATGCCTTAATTAACATAATAACTTTGTGAACAAATAAAATAAGATAATTATGATAAGATGACATACATTTATCCTTTCTTGAGCTGAAATCATGGCTTTGAATGTCACGCCTAGTGCTTCTGCTGCAACAAAAGCTGATCCGAGAGCCCTTCTTGACTGTATGCGTATATCGCGCCATTCAGTATACGGTGGTGGCGCAACAACAAAATTTAACATCAAAATTACACTTAAACAAACTTTAAGCTTCATTATTAAATACAACATGTACTTGAATATCAAATGACAATTACAACTTTCCTTGTGTCTGTCGCTTTGAAATCAAGTTGTCTATATTTATATGTAATTAAGCAGTGACCATGACAGGCGGCCCTAAATTAATGTTCTAATTTATGTTCACTTAAACAAACACCACATTTGTAAATGCTTTTTGCTATGTCATTATTTTAAGTGAAATGTGTCTTTTTCGAGAAGAACGACAAAAATTAAGTATATTTTACTTGCACGTATGCATGTTTTTTCCACAATTTGTATTGCGGTTAGGAAACATGCATGGTTTACCACAAATTATTGTTTCGATGAGGCGGCTGTGGGTTCGAATCCCGACAGGGACTTATTTGAAAGTAAGATTTTGCAAGATCTTTATGTTTGATGCATGAAAAATTCATTCCTCTGCACTACAGCAGACTTTAAACTGAATTGCAATTCATTAAATGTCCTTAAAACATAGACTTGGAAGAGTAATTGTAAATTGTCTATTATTTTACATCGTAAGGCTTTGTCTTTATATGAATATTGGCCCACTTTCACTTTGGACATACGAAGTGAAAATCAAACATGGCTGGCAATGCAGAATCACCTCATTATGCACTGAAAAAAATTTGAAATGTTATAAGATAATGATTTTTGAAGATGCATTACACCTAAAACAATGCTTGGGGGCATAAGAGCTGTTGCAACTTTCATTACCTCTTATAAGTATTTACCAGGCTCAATAAAACCGGATCAGTAATATTTATCTTTTTACTTTACTTTTACTTTAGATCTGAGCGTGACCATATACAAAATTATTTCTGGTGACTATTCACACAGCCAATCATCGGCGAGCTTTAATAATTTTGTAAGCGATGTAGTTTCTAATTTTAACCCTGGAAAAACCAATACTGAGTAGGTAATTTTCACGATTTCGAGAACCATCATGGCGTTATCCATATATCTGACATGTAAATTGGCAATTCAATCTTTCCCATTTAAAGTTGACTCTAAACATTTTTTTGCTTTTAATATTTTTTTGCTTACCAAAAAACAACAATTTGTTTATCCTCCGTGTAAAACGGTATTTTGATAGTTCTTCTAATGCCTATGCAAAAACTGGTTTGATGACATTGCTAAAAATAGTTTTCTCGGAAAATCCGAATTATAAAGAAGCCGAAACACAATCAAACGTCATCAGATCTGCATAAAAAATAAGAAGATCTGAACTTTAGTCAGATTGTTTGCTTATTCGTTTTAAACGCCGCTTTTAACATATTTTCATCATATCTCGGCTGTCAATCTATCTTACCTGAACTTACCTAACTTTAATAATTTTACAAATTTCTCTGCAAGTGACCGACTGCTTATCCCGAATTATTTCTTAATGAGCGGTGAAGGACAAATGGCGATGACATTATATGCCCGAGATCACAGGCCAAGGAAATTTGCCCCAACCCGAGGTTTTTACCAGCGACCCGTAGTTTACAATTCCTGTGCGTTCTTTATTCAGCTTAGCGGGTGGGTATCTTTTTAAAGGTTCCACATGAACAAAATTTACAATGAAAAATTGTTTGGTACAAAACATAATAAAGTTGTGAAACAATAAATAGCAAAGAGTCTGAATCTATCACTAGTTATCAAGAAGTGAAATGATAAACGGTCATCTTAAAATATGAGTTTGGTATTAATCAAGCAAATCCCTGTACAATTTGCATAGTGTATACTTACAGTTTCACCGGTATTGCATGTAGCTGTAAACTGTACCCGATATTCAGCAGTCCTTGGCCTCGGCTAAATGAGAGAGAGGAAAAAGAAAATTAAAATATTGATATAGGGCAACTAAAAAAACATGGCTAATTGGTTTCGCAATTACTTGAACGACATGTTCATATCTTTTTGTTTTGTAAAGGATCATTTTCATCTTTAAAATGTGGTCGAATAGCTAATAATAACATTAATTTAGTACTGTTTGTTTTTTGGTTTTATGTCACATCGACACAGTATAGGTCATATCGCGACGTTCCAGCTTTACTGGTGGAGGAAGACCTCAAGTTCCCTTCATATTACACATAAAAACATACATATATATGAAATGCATCTTACATATTAAATCACTTACCAAAAATGCAAAAGAAACCGTACATTTTTCCTTTCGTGAGCTGAAATAATATTTTCAAATTTCACACCAAGGAAATCTCCAGCAAAATGAGCTGATCCGACAGTCCGTCATAGTTGTATGCTAACCTCACGCCATTCTGAAGATGGTATTGGTGCAACAACAAAATGTGTCAGCAATATTAAGCTTAAACAAGCTTTAAGTTCCATTAGTGAATATCACATTTATGTCTTTATTAGAATAACAATGACACTTGTCTTTCTGGTGTATCCCACAGAATTACCAAATTTCCCGTATTTATATATACTATAAACAAAATCTATGACAGACGATGATATGTTTAATTTTCTGATTTATGTCTAATTTAGTTCTTGCCAATTTTAATATGCTTTAAAATGTTGTAATCATTGTAATCGTGATGTGTGTTTTTTAGGAAAAATAAAAATGGAACTGTATATTCAAAGGGACTCCACCGATGTTTTTTACATAAAGGGACTGTTAATATTTTCCCGCTATTTATGAACCATACGAGCCTGGGCCATTGACTTTGGTGCAAAATTTAAGTTAATTTAAGTTTTTCCAGGAAATTGAAAGATTTTCAATCAAATAAGGCTACAAAAAACTAAAAAATACGATTTTCAGAATATGTTTCTTAATTATCTTTTTCATATTTTTCTGTTTTAAATGCCCTGACTAATCTATGTAAGAAAATTAAAATTTTATTTTTTTTCGGATTTTAGACCTTAGTTCCTTTAACGATTGTTTGTTTGGTGTTGTTGTTTGTACTAAAACTGGTTTACGTAAAACAACAGTTTTTTGTACTATTTGATTAATCAAGTAAGGGTATTATTAGACAAATTGTTGAAAATAACTTAAATGATAATGAAATGTCGTGCAACTAAAAATGCATGAATATCATTATTCTCAAAGCATATCATCATAAAATAATTTGAATTCTATTTATTATGAAAAACGCAATGTAAATAAATAATAAAGCAAGATACTAGAAGGTCTATATTCTTAAATGATTAATCAGTTTCTTGATCTCCTTGCGCAAAATCCAGGAAATCTCAGGTAAGATACATTTCTTATCCCAAAAGATGGATAATATGTAAAAAAAATTTGGGCATTTAAAGAAAAAGACAAGAACATCCGAAGAAACAAGACAATCAATGAAAAAGCCTTTGATTGGCTAAAGGCAGGCGGTGTACAAGTAAAACTGTTCAAATCTTGTCAATTGTATATATCGCCGTCCAGGAACAGCGATAATAATAATGCAATTGAGTCTCAAAATAATGAATGGACGATATTTGTTTGTTTGTGTGTAAGATGAAATTTTATTTCATCGAGTGAGCTTTAAAAACAGTATTCTCGCCGCGAGTGGCGTGGCCAGGAGTTAGAATACTGTTTTTTAAAGTTCGTGGGATGAAAAACAATTACATCTTACACAACAAACAAACAATTTTCTTTTTCTTTTATGCTTAAATCAAGTTTAAATGGAATTTCTCCAATATTAAAATTAATATTAAAATCTGTTTTCCCCACTATTGGCCTCACTTTAGTCTCATTTCTAAGCACAAGAAGTCATGAGATGAATGATAAGTTCGACAATCAACGTTAAAAGAAATGTTATTATTTATCTTATTTCAAAAACATGAATGATCGTTTGTTTAAATAATAAAAAGAAACAATTCAAGTAGAAGAAAAGTTACACCATCCGAAATTATTTCTGTTAACAACGGCGAATTTATATGAGACCAGACTTTGAGTAATTTAAAAGACTGCCATTTTTAATTTAATCTTGTTTATTTAACGGTTGGAAAATAATTGTGTTTGATTCAGAAGGATATCATTTGGATTTGTTAGTCATACTTACTTTTATAAGAAAGCAAGCTTATTTGAGGATTATTACAGACAATAAATAATTGTTGACAGATGTGTAAACATACAAAATGCGCTTAGTAATTAGGAAAACATGGAATTGTTGAAAGGCTGTCTCACAAACGCTTGGTTGTTTACTTATTCTTCGGGTTAATGACCGTCATTGCTTTTCAAGTTTTAATATTGCATAAGTCAGTTATTGCTTGTAGGATACTTAAATATGCTCAAATGTCATCAAAAGCAGCTCGTATGTGGAAGGAGTGTATTTTTCAAACTGTAAAAATGAAACAAAAAAATTTAGAGACGATATTATGTAATTGATAATTTGAATGAATTGAAGTATTTTTTTTCTTTTTATTACTTTTGAAATTTAACTTATTTATTAACTTCAGATTTGCTTTACTCTAAATAGCCCTGACAATAGAAGTAGTGTCAACAAAATAAATCGAGGTACCGCATGGGGAAAATCTTTAAAAAAAAGTAGTCTCGTCATTGAAAAGTGTGAAATTATAATTTGATAATTTTCACTGCGAAATTATCAAAAAAAATTTTTTACGGATAAATCAGTTATCCACCAAAAAGCATTAGATAAGTAGCATCTAAAAAAAATATTTTATAATAAAATTACGAGATTAAATTACCACAAAGTTTCTGTAGTCACTCAGTGTTTACTTGTTATATATTTGTCTGTTTATTTTTATTTTTAAATAAATTATATTTGATTGTACTTCACAAAAAAGCCATAAAAGCCCTAAAGGTACTTTTCGGTCCATTGTCAGTGCAGTGCATTGAAATAAACATATAATGTACTATCACTTAATATAAAAACAAGTCCTTATGTTGATATGTTGCCTCAAGCAAAATGTTCATTGCAACGAGAATTTAAAAACGGATTATATAATTGCAGCTTTTAGGCAAAACTTTAATTTTATGCACAAACGCAATTGATGATTGATGGATGCAGCAAACCACAAAGTTTAGTTGTTTTTTTTTGTTTGCCTTTATTAACAAAGGAATATTGTCAATGATAAAAATATTGAAAGTTCCTCTTCGCACGAGTACATTGATGTAAATCATTTGTAATCGGTTTTTTTTTTTGTTTTTTTTTATAGAAATACCGAGTGTCCTGATTGAACATAGTAAAGTATATCTCGATCAAGGGGACTGTCCCGGGTAACTATTAGTCCTTTGTCTGTGAACTATTGATTTGTTTTCTATAAACCACACCTTGCCCGTTCAGTTGTCCTTACAAACGTAGGTTCGAATCTCCACAAAACAATACCTTTACACATTCTTATCTGAAATTGAAAATTACATTTATTAATGTTGAAAACAATAACCATGTGCTCTTGTTTTATTTCCAAATTTCTATGCCCTCCGTCCGTCACACCGGACTGTCCGAAAGCCAGTCAGTCCATTTGTCCGCAAAAACGTTATCCGAATGATTCTTAATGTTGGTGTAATTGGCTATATTTGTAGGTAATGAAAGGATTGTCTTACCTTTGGACAAACCATTAATATGATAAGAAGATATAATTTAACTTGAGACCTTGACTTTGATTCGCCATTGGTGATAACTCAGATTGATTTTTATACTTGGACAGAAGTCACAAAACTGACATTTTTATTTTTATTTACAGATAATATTTATATGGACAAAAACACGTTTGACAAATCCGACATGTTGAATTATTCTAATATGACCTTTGGATTAAACTGACCTTGACTGTGAAGGACAAATTATTGTAATTTGCTTAATTTTGCTTAAACATATCATTTATATACAAATTTGATTTATACGTTGACAAAAGTAAAACAAATGACAAAACCAACATGTTGAATTACTCTAATATGACCTTGACCTTAAACACAAAAGGTTGCAATTAATATTTCATGTGCCAAAATTGAGACAATGACGTGAACTGTGTACTTCAATTTTTTTATTATTTTACTTTGCATATACTATATATTTGTTTTATAAATTCATTTGATCCAGTTTCAACTTCATGACTTATTGTCCAAGATTAATATATATACATAAAAAACCAACATGTTGAATTATTTTAATATTCTATTGACCTTAAACACAAAAGATTGCAATTAATATTTCATATGCCATTCTCTTGTTTATATATCTATAAACAAGAGAAACGCAAATACGGGGCAACATACACCCGAATGTAAATTTGTTGTGAAATCGAAAATAGTCAATCAATTAGAGTAGAGAGCTTGTCTTAGAAAAGTTTTATCTTGATTATCCTTATGATACTGTGCAAGGCATTCCTCACCATAAGTGTACAATTCATTAAATTTAAATAAAGGTCTTCTAGGCAATGCTGTATGCCAAATATAGAGGTAAAGAACTCCACAAAAAGATAAGATGTGTTTTCCCATACCTTAGTCAAATGAAGACAAATGACCTCAGAGTCATAATTGATATAACTTCCAGAAATCTACAAATTTATGTTAAATGCCAAATATCAAAGCTCTGGGCTTTGTAGTTTCACACAAAAAAGACATAAAGGTGTTTCCTATATAAGTTTATATACATCAAGAGACCCCGGGCGACCAAGAGTGATGATTAATATCATAGTAATGCTACTTGTAAAATATCGTAGTTCTTAGCATTGTTTACTGAAATGTGTATTCTCATACAAGACTATATCAACTAATTAGCCCGAGAGGGGTGGCCAATATTTACCTAAGTGGCATAATTAATATCAGCTTTGTACAAGCAAACAAGGCAAAGTAATACATCAAAATTTTAAATTCTATGCATTGTATTTTCACCAAATTAAGACTTAAATGTGTTTTCTCATTTATATAGAGGATATTTGTTTGTTTTGCATGTAAGATTGAAATATAATTTCACTGAGTGAACACCAGATGCAATATTTTCACGAGTGGCGTAGCCACGAGTGAAAATATAATAGCTGGTGTTCACGAATGAAATATATTTCAATCTTATATGTAAAACAAATAAATTTTCTTTTTATTTGATGTTTTTTAAGGGATATTTAGTATATTTTTACTGATTTTGCCGCGTAACGTCACGCATTCTCCTATGTGACGTCATCATAGCATGACGTCACATCATCAGTTTTGAAATATAGTTCTGTTAACTTTCTCTAATTTTGTTACATTTTTACATGATGTATGGTGGAATTGACTTTCTTTTCCTAAAGAAGCAAAATTTACACATGACGGCAATTATTTCTTCTTGTTATTTCATTTAGTTATGATTTTCTTTTCATCCGCATTCAGATATAGTCCGGCTACAGTGAAAATTATATTTTATAAATATCACTAGTGGTTTATCAGAATATAATCATCTGATATATTACAATAAAACACTGGAAAGCATGAAATAAAACAATATAAACAAAGTGAACAAGGGATTGGACAAATGTTGACCCAAGGGGTATGATTAATACCAGATATTCTGTGGTCCGCAAACAGATGTACATGCTCAGGGCGTCGTAGTTTCACACACTAAGTCTCAGTTGCGTTTTTCCAATTTGAATAAAAATCTATATAAATCAAGGGACTTCGGAACGGACCAATATTTAATCAAGGGGCATTTTTCATATCAGATTTGTTAAGGTCAATAAGGCAATGCTTCATGCTTAATATCTAAGCTTTAGACATTGCAGTTTCACGCAATGAAACTTAAAAATGTGTTGTCCGATGTAAGTCCATATAAATAAAGTCATCTCCGGGGCAGGGCGGGGAGATGTTCTTCACATCGCCTCATTATTAGTAATATTTGTGTCATAATGTTTTAATTTCTTTCTATCGGTTCAAAATATACACAGCGGTCACGAAATTTTGAAATTAATAAAGGATGACTAAGTGTGACCTTGACCTTGGACTGGAGAAGGTTAAAAATGTGTTGTTCTTCTGTAAGTCTATCTAAATTAAATAACCCTGGGGACGGGGCCAATTTTGATCACAGCTGTGTTCTGCACAAGGCCTCATTATGGTTTACATTTATGCCAAGTAGTTTCAATATTTCTTCCACGGGTTCAAAAGATACAGTCAGACACCAAACATGCTAACAGACGGACGGACGACCAGGTGCATAACATATTAAGCAAAAATCTTTTCGGGCGTATTAAAACGATAATGATTATTATTTGAAACGGGATTATTCAGATAAGTATGTTTTTCAAATGAAAAGTATTGAAATAATCAAATAATTTTATATTTATATTTATTGTTTGATGGAATTTAGATAAATAACTTTAATCATTAACAACCTTACCTCTCCATCCGGAAAACTGACAAAAAAGTAAACATAATAACGAGCAAATGAGACGTCTGGCTGCAAAAAAAAAGATTACAATGAAGTGAAATAATTTTACGACTAGAACATTCGGAAAAAGATATACCCAAACATCTTTATGTATTGAAATAGTTCTGTATTTACAATTAGGTCATGTGCTTCATTATGTATGCATTTCTTTCTCACATTTAAACACAAAGCGTCTGGTAATAACTTACATGTACACAGATAAATTAACGAATTACAATTTCACATTTCATAATTTTGGTTACAAAAATATATTACAAATGTATGGTCGTAATGTATTATATCAAATAATATGTTTATCAATCATAAATATGATCTGTATCATCAAAAAGGTGTGTATAAAACATAGACACTTACAGGTTGAACTTGTGCAAAAGCTTTCAACATTCCTGTATATGTTCCTCCAAGAAAAGCAGATGCTTCTATAGCAGATCCGATAGTTCTTCTCAAACCTATACTAACTTCTGTCCACTGTTGACAAAGTCCTGGCACGACATTTAAAACAATGAGCAGCAGCACAAAAGCCTTTGATGAATTCATATCTCTTATCTACGGCGATCTAAACTTATCACACTGTAGAATTTGATTATGGTTTGATCCTTTTAAACATTTAATAGATTGAACTTAACATGAGAAAAATATTGAATTTTCATTGGCTTACACGCTCTGCATATTAATTCTGTAAACATGAAACATTTTTCCCCGTTAAGCGCCCATAAAAATATTAGAATGAAACAAAGGCGAACATACGAGGTCGCTTTTTAAATTTTCAATCATTTAAATTGTCGAGTGTTTTTGCTGTTATTTGATGTCATTTAAGTTCAGTCAGAATAATATTTCTTTTTTTTTGTCTTTGTGTTTCATGTTTTACAAGTATAATAAGCTATATAAAGGTACATGCTAAATCAATTTACCGGCCGTTTGATTTTCTGATCAAAGTAGAAAAGTACAGATTGCCTGAATGTAAATGCAACAAATATAGCCTTTATGTAACATAACGCAATGTTTCTTAAAAAAACACAGATGTTTCAGTCTGATTATTGAAACTATTGTTGCATCGGTACGATAGGGGCAGGGGGTTATGGAGCACACTATAACTTTAAGATTAATTATTGAAAAAAAGACTGATTAAAAGAATTGTTAACTGGTCACGATTAATTTTAAGTACCATTAACGAAATAGACGGAGTTTTTTGTTTGGTTGTTTTTTGTTGTTGTTTTTTTTTTCACGATGCAATATACCGATGTAGTTTTAAAATTATTGGTAATATTAAATCAAAACTGTTCTTTGTTTTCCGTCTCTATTCTGCTCTTTGTTCTCTCAAGATGTCAAGGAGAAGTCATTTGTACCAAAGATATTAAAGATTTCTACTGGCTTATTCGTTTCCACCAATATGCGAGGTTGAAGGATATAATTAGCCAATCCGGGTGTTTCGGTTACATATACGTAACCAATAAACCGTCTATGTATAGCAACAGACTGTGACTTCAGCGGTCATCAGCTATTTTCAAATGCATAGACATATATAAGTGAAAATGATATTTCGTCAATTTCGAATTGACTTATCTGTTTATATGTATGACCAGCTGATTTTTTTAAACATGTTACTTGTGAAATGTTTTGCAGGTTACATACGTTAGTTTATCTCCGAAGAAATAGCAAAGTTGTTCTCTAGTTTTCGGCTCGACGCAATAAGCATTGAGAATTTAACAGGTAAACATTTATGAGCAGATGTTCTATAAAAAATAAGAAATAGACTATTAGAACTATTTTCAAATGCTTATTCTGAACCGGGTGATCTTAGGTTTTTTGGTAGGCTGCCTCCAGGCAACTTCCATGGGTTGAAAAATATGGTTATTATTTAGGGTCATTAGCTATGGTCAGGCACTCCAAAAAAGTTGTTTCTAAACTTTCACCGACGTAATGCGTTTTTTACTATAAACAAAATTAAGATGTTTCCTTTATAAAAACACAATAAGTATTCTCAATTATGGATTAGTTATTGGTCAGATTATTTAAACCATTCGCAGTCAAATAAATTATATGCAACAATTTTGAGTAAATTTGCATATAACGTAAACACAAAGGCAATACGTTATTCTGTGAGGCTACGAGTGGGAGAAAATAGAAAATATTTTTTTTTCTACGTTTTTTCTACGTTTATTTCTTAAATTCTTTTCAAAGTCACTTACATCAGACTTGTAATATCATCATAGATATGTTTTGTCATTGTGTAATCGAGCATTGAAAAAACACTCTTACTTGGTTGTAATGTTGAAACACGTCTTTATTTTATGCATCGATTAATTAATTAATTAATTAATTAATTAATCAATTAATAAATAATTAATAAAGTAATAATAATTAATTAATTAATTAATCAATGTTGCACATCGCAGTACAGACGCTTAATCATGACATTTGAACCCACATGAGTAAATCTTTAAAATCTAAATGAAAAAGCAGGTAATGAACCTTTGTTTTTGTTTATAAAGAAAGAATGATAAGTGATAGTAGAAAATATACGAGAGCGTAGCGCGAGAATAGCGCGAGAATTTTGACATATTTCGCCAAACGCTTGAATAGTGATAGAAAATAAGTAAATATTTCGATTGTTACAACAGCAAATTTGACGCCATTAATTATCATGATACGCCATGCGATTTTGTAATTCACGCATTAAGAAATTTGAAACTGTTGAAATTGTACGTATGCGTTTAATACAACTGCTGCCTTATACATGTATATAGGATAATTCAATATAGTATTATATTGATATGTAAAATGTTCTGGACTAGGGTCGAATTTCGAATAAACTTTTTTATTATTATTTATTTTATGTATTTATTTTGCTGTTGTTGTATTTTTTGTTTGGTCTGGTTTTTGTTTAGTTTAACGCCAATTAAAACATAGTTGCGGTCATATCTCGGAGGCCGATAGGCCAATCTGGCATTTCTAGATACCAGTAATTACCAATTTTCTCGTTAACTGGACATCAACATGTAAGGGATTATTGTAAATATCTAAAGACGGAGTATATTTCGATATCATTAACATACAAGAATATAAACAAACACTACCCATCAATGAATTAATGTTAAACTCTGCATTCTTTTTCAGTAGTTTCAAAACCTTAGGGGATGAAAGTTTTTCATTTTGTCATTTTTCCTTATTTTCTTTTGACTGATTAAACTTTCGTTCTTGAATTGTATGAAAAACTTTAATTTATAAATATATGCAGTTTTATATATGCTTTATAGGGCGAAATTATTGAAAATAGGGTTGTCAAAGATCTTAAATGATTTCATTTCAAAATTCGAATGGTAATTATATTCCGCAAAAGTTCAGACAAAAATCTACTTTTTTTTCTAAATCCGCTCTCTTTCTTTACGATCAAAACTAAGATCAGCCAAAACACTGAATACGCTATTCTTTAGTGTCTTTTGTAATTATAAAGAATCTTTCTTTCTAAGTGCATGTATTTCTATAGATGAAATGAGTAAAAGTATACTCGACATATTTATTATTCTATGTACCTGACACAAAAGTTAAACTAAAATCGACAATGTTTTTCAAATAAGTTGGTAAATTCGTACAATGTAAGCAATTTTAATCCACGGATTACAAATATGGACCTTCAATTTTTTTAACTGTTTTTACTGATTCAAAACAAATAAAGTCAAGCCAACGACATAAAACTTGTGTTTGTTTGTTACAATTTTTAAGCTAAACTAAAATTATTCCTTCCAAATAAAAATCAAAGAGAAGTAACTGTGTAGACTACCTTTCAATGAATACTTGAGGTTATCTCCCTCATAATGATTATTTTGGCAGTTTTTGCTGCGCAATACTATACCTTGGCAGATTAATTTTGAGTAGTACATTTACAAAGATGTTTCAGACATCTAAAAATAAAGATAAGCAGATGTTTTAGCTTTAAGTTAATATTCATCTATCATGTAATTAGTATTTTTCTCTGCAATCAATTTGTAGAAGTTTTTTTAATTTCGCATATCATATGCTATAAATGCTTAGTTTATTTATTTATTATTATATGCTTAATTTATTTCTTCAGAAAAAAGTGCTTTATTTCTTCAGAAAAAAAGTGCGATAAACATTTATCAAAATGAACATCAAATATCATTGTTTAACAAAGTTAAAATATCAATATTTAGACCGCCAACAGTTTCTTTGGCGTCATGCTAAATTGCAGAATCGCTTCATCCTTAACCTGCAGAGGCCGACATAGGTCAACATTCGCCATCAGCATAATACCATTTGCAAACTTGCAATCTGACCAAGTTCTATACCGTTGATATTCAAGTTTTGTATCTTGATACTGATATCCCTTATAGTTCTAATGGACTGGTACAAATTAAAAGCAGGGCGAATACATAAAACAAATTCAACAGGTGAAGGGTTCTATTTAATTTAGTTAATAGGTTGTGTTTTTCCAAAAGTTTAATATAAAAGTTGTTTTGAAAACTATGTATAAATGGATACTCTAATTGTTTGGCAATAATAGGGAAACTTGACAATTAAAAAAATTCATCGACTGCTTGCGTAGTAATATTTACAATAAATAATTATGTAATTTTGTAAAGTTTAGTAGTTAATTGGCTAAAACAATTTTAAAGTAGAAAGAGTCATTATGATTTCCTGAATATCATGACAAAGTCTAGGACCTATTGTGTCCAGCGTAGGCAGACATATGTTAAATTCATAGTAAGATGATTTGTCTAACCATTGAGGATGCAATGATTGCGCCCACAAAACAATTAAGTAAAGGAAAGGTAAAATGTTTGACAATCTGCTTGTGCCTTTATCACGCTTGTGGCGTTTGCACTTTTACACCGACTATCAAACGCTTATCTTGATAAGATAATTAAAATGATGATAAACAATGCAATGTCTGTTGATATGTTAATTTCATTAACTACTGCACAGAAAAGAGTGGAATACAAACAATTATACAACTATACTCAAAAACCTACACGGAAATGAATTGCATGACAAATTGTCATGAAACATTTGAAATTTTGCACAAATAGATGCGCTATCATAACTGTCAAAACATGTTTAGGCTATTAAAATGGTTGAAATAATGAGACAATGCTTTCAATCATCTAAAACATTGTGCAAATGTTGCACATTTTGAAGACAAATATTAAATACATAAATATTTAAAGTGACGCCATCATAGAATAAATGAACACTTATCCATTACATTAAAGGACTTAATACTTAAAGTGACGAATTCATAGAATAATTGAAAAATTTTCTGCGATATTTGTTTAATACCTTTGTAAATATGCATGATATGAATGCATCATTTGGTAAAGTAAATATATTAATTGTGTAGATTGTGCTAAATTCCAAAATTAATCTCTGTAAATATGTTATTTTTGTTTGTTTTTTTTAAAGTACTACTCCAAATATACTCTCACCTAAAACTTAATTCTAAATTGTTTTTATCTCTAATTAAACGTTAATTGTTTGTTTATGATTCTAGAATCTAAAAATTGTTAAATAAATTAGAAATGCCTTGATTTGCTTGGAAAGAATCTTCATGAATGCAATATATTTTTTGTAGAACTTTTGAAATGTTGAAACTATCATTTGTTAAATAAATATATAACCTTCAAGTAAAAATACCTTCATACATAACACGTGATAATTATAGTATTCTTAAATAAGAATAAGTACAAGAATTATTATATCAATATATATCAGCTATTGGTACAGAGAATAGCCAAACTAGACATGGAATCAGCTTTAATTTATTATCCCGTATACAGCATCACTAGCAGGGTCAACCGATCCGGGCTAACATCCAAGGTTATATACCGTTGTATTGCTGGGATTTGCAGCCCAAAGGACATCTGCATGACATTCAAAACCCTGAAAAATAAATTAGAGTTTTTTCAAAAAAAAAAAAAGGAATTATGATAAGTAAACGCTTGAGAAAGGATTCAATGATGCATATCAGTTCTGATATGTTGAATATTTTAATATCAATAATATAAGCTTATATAATATCTGTTTTGGTTTTGGAGGAATTTTATTTGTTATATGTATGTGATCTTGATCCCGTAAAAAGATAATGTAATGCGTTTATGATTATTTTTACAGTTATACGAAAATCAAGGTCAATTTTTTAGGGGGGGGGGGTCATTTTTTTTATTTTATCTTTGTTGTTTTTTTTTTGTTGTTGTTTTTTATAATTTTTTTTACTTTTTCTCTTGTATATAAATTGTGCAAACAACTCGAAAATTTTCACTGATTTACCTTTATGAATCATTACTTCATTACAAAATTTAGACAGCGGAAAAATACACTGTTAAATAAGTTTTTAACAGAAAACAAAAACTTTATTTTCATTTCAATTAGTATATATTTGTGAGGGGATAAAAGCTACCTACCTTTCCATTTGGAAGAGCGGTAAGGAACGAGACTCTGTATAAATCCCATTCAGGAACGCCCTGCAACAGTAAAAGTATTTTGAATAATCAAGAAACACTGTTGGCTCTGATACTATTATGTTATATTTAAAGATAAAATAGCCCCAACTCAATATAAACATCTAAACATTTATAATTATATGTGTAAATACACTTTATATATTCACATTTATGATATACATGTTCTAACCATGAGGTATGCTTGGGTACATCTAAACCCCTGAATCAAATATCACATTGCAACAGTCACACTTCATAAAATCATTAAAAGTATGCCAGGTTTTAGGGTTTAAACGTCTTTCATTGTTTAATATATTTTACATTATAGTATTATTATTACATTACATTTTTTGTCATATATAACGTGACTTAAAGCGGCCTTCAGTTTTTATTTTTTTCTTGTGGAAAAACAACTCTGTGTTATTTCAAAATAAGTATTTCAGTAATTTTATCTGGGGAAAAGTGCATCATAGCATTGTAAGGTCTTCTTAAAAACAGCGTCCCAAAAGTTATCTATAGGCCGCCAGGGACGTTCGTTTCTAAAAATAGTAGATCGGGAAATAAATAGTCAGCTTAACTAATTTACATAAAGAGAAGTCCGCTAGAATACAGGTATCGAGAGATTTCCTTATTGTATATTTTATCGCCGGCAAGTTTCATTTTCAACCTTAATTTTTTTATTTGACATTTATATGAAAATATGAAACATTTGATCTAAAAATAACCTATTAAAAATCTTTAGAAAAGCTGAAGGCCGCTTTAAGTTTACACAAACGCGCCCATTTCTGTCATATCGTAATGGAGAGCTATTGATATAAAAGTATCCTTTCCTGAAAAAACAATAGACACTTTTTGAAAAAAGATAAGCACCAAGGTATATTTTTAATATAGGAATAACGAAAAATCATGAACTATTTGTTTAGGTGCTTCACTTTATTTCTTTATGTTCTTTTTCAAATGATTAAGCATGCATACGTGTTTTTCTGTTATGATTCCTGATGATAAATTTCTATATTGAAAATACAAGAATCTTTAATTAATATATTTTTTAAGTCTTTATTTTTGATATTTCAAAGATTATCAAGTTATGGTCCTAAAGAATGTTTAAAGTTTTCGTAATATGCCTTTATCATTTGATCAGTATCAATAATCATATGTTGATGGTATGCAAGAACAATCAAAGTTGATCGGCGATAATAATTAACATGAATTGATTGATAGATCAATGTATATATATAATATCTAAATGGTGAACTTACATCTCTTCGCTTGAAACCTGTCAATTTCTTTGTCAAACGCCCTCCAACATGATCTGTTGCAAGTTTAAATGAATCATCAATTTTTGGTGATGAAAGTGGTAACGCATCCCATCCGTTCATATCGAACCTAAAGCACGTGAAACATGATAATATGCCACAGAAAATAAGCACATTCAATCCTGATATCTTCATTATTAATTCCTTAAGGTCTTTCACCAAGAACAAATGGTGAAACTTTACACTTTCAATGACAGACGACAACTGTGTAGGTTTTAGACTTTAAATCGACCTTTCACCAAAAAAAGGTGCACAAATTTATTAAACGTATGTCTTCAGTTATTTGACAATATCTGTCTTTTTAATGAGAATTTCGCATGAATAGACGTTAATTATACTGTTTTATTACATAATTTGGTTTGTAATATTCGCTCATCTTTACAATAACAATGTAATGGCATATCTGATCATGACTTGAGTGTGTAATAAAACATTTAGTACTTAACTACTAATGACAATAAAATCATAGAAGAAGAAAAAGAAGAATGGAATAGTAGAAGAACTCAGAATTTTACACTTTTTTTGTAATGAGATAAATATATAGACATTGTATTAGAATATTTTCATTTATTTATCAACTTAAACGTTTAGTATGCATGACAAAACAATGGCTGTCATTGTTTTAGATTAAATTAGATTATAAATGTTATCAAATTTCCTTAACATGTTGCATTATCATGTAATCAAACTTAAACCTGTCTATGTCACGTATATTCATGAGTTTTGATGTAACATAAAATGCAAATAAATTATGAGTTTTGATAAACAATTGTAAGTTTATTTAAGGTATTTTAAACTTATATAATATTATCATGATAAACTGAAAGACTAAACTGCTGAAATTGTTATACTGCTTCATACTTCCATTTATATTCATTTGTTCCAATGTTCAAATATTTGCTAAATGTAGTGCATTTGTTAAATTTGTTTCCTAATATTGAATTGTAACATATAATGTGCAAGCTTTTAATTCATCTTTATCCTTTTCAGTGTCGTATAATGTAATATGCGCGCTTAAAATATTGACACCATATTATAATCTTAATCACATTCAAAATGGATTGAAAACGTGTGTGCACAATTTCAGATCAATATGTTTATATTTATCCAAAAATGACTTGAAATATTGTGGTGTCTTAACGATTTTGACTCAAATTAACAAACCAAAACAAGTATCTAATTAATATCAGTAATACTTAAGTTACTATATGGCAAAACTTATGTAATTATACAATTTCAGCTACCTTATAATCATGCATTATTTTTTCATTATGAGTGAATGTTCCCACGTGCAAAATGACGCGATCAACTGGCGGTGACTTTTAAGATACCGTAGTTGCTGTTGTTGAATGAACTGTTTGGACTTCACACATTTTTTAAGTTTTGATGACGTAGTCAATCGCAGTCAACAAAGTCACTGATTAGGGGAAAACCAATAACTGTGTCTAAGACAAAACGTGACCCTCAGAAATGATTCCAGATTGATGGTAAATCTACAGTTTAGACATGAAGACATCAGAAACTTTAAAGCTAAAGAATTAGCCATGTATAAATCTAGATCTAGGCCAACATCTAAAGATAGAACTTAAGAATTTATTAGACTATTTGAAACAAAGGAATATCAAGAACCATCAACAAGACAGGGAAAAATGTAAGATCCGGGGAATTTAGAGCTATATTTGTGACATAAGCTCTGGTCTTGAAAGCACACAAATTGATAAAAGGCTTGTACTAAATAAACGTCATTCTCAAAAATTAAGAACACTTTTCAGTATAAACAACAATAAACAACCCTTTTTCATCTTTGTGTTATTATATAATGTTTTCTATGTAAATCGGAAGTTTCTTGCCTGTCTGTTAAACTGAATTGATATTTGTTTACATTGACAACTGTTCTATGTTTGAAAGGGCGATAACTAAGATTAGCGGCGATGTCTAATCGCCACATTTCCAGCAAAGGTATTAAAGACGGCCTGTGGGACTCATAAATGTTCAAGCTATTATCGCATTTTGACAAGCAGCAATCAGGTATTAACCGCTAAGTAATTCATTATCAGCAATAGGATATTCTGCAATTTCAAGTTGACCAGCTGATCTAATTAAAACTGCAATAGAGAGTTCCTTCACAATTTGGTAATTCAGGATTTTCTTGTAACTGTTTGAACAACACTCAGAATCTTGCTTAGTCACTTCTCAAACAATATTTATTGAATTGACTTGAAGTAAATGAGATTCACTTGGTGTTTTTGATCAGTTCTGACCAGTCTGTCTTGAACGGGGAACATCTAAACCACAGCAATATCTTGACATGGATTTTATTGTGTATTCATCTCTGATTTCTACGAATTCATGTATTATTGCTAATAGGAATGCGGATTTATGAACATAAACGTTGTGTTTATGAGACTATGAAGAACTATGTGAACTTACAAATGAAATTTAAAAAATCTTGCATTTTAACCTCAGAGAGAATTTAATATATTTTTAAATATTAAACATTAATTTTTAAATAATCAATTGTATACAAATCAAATAGCATAGTTTACATGTTAAATTTTTGTAATACTTTTAACCTTTCACAAATTTAAGAGTAAGTATAATTTTTTTTGATAAAACTGTTTGAACAACATCTAAAAGATATCTTGCGTGAGAGTGTTTATTACAATTTACTTACTGACAAAAACTGAAACAAATTTTAAAAGATATTATTGCATGGACTTGAATTAAAAAATTGTATTATATAAGCTTTGACAAGTGTAAATTCTGATAGTTAAAACAATCTGTTATTTTCGTAAAGAAATTAATCCGTCAAAAAAAATGACATGAACGCAATAATTATAAACGAATTTTGTCTCATATTTAGTTTACACTATGTTTCTCGACGTTTACAAACACATACAGTTATTTGCCTTATATTTTGAGACATTATATGAGTGAAGGACAAATTTGATTTAAATAACTTGGAGACGATATAATGATGACATTAAGAAACATGGAAAATAGAAAATAGTACAAACTGAGTGTTGATAACTCAAATGATTGCATTTATTGCATATGATTTTACTTCTAAAGAATGGTTAGTTTATACTGTATTCAGATATTTTGCATATTCATACAACGTTCGTATGTCAATTTGTATGACATAAGCTTCCACTTGATTCTCAGAATGATGAAGACTGTTAACTTTCACTATACAAATCAAATTGGTCTGATAATGGTACAAAATTTTGCAAGACTGAGAACATATGTTACATTCAAACAAAACTATGGTAACTGAATAATATATTATGTCTTCCTTAACTTAAGTAAAGAGGTCGCATTTAGCGCAATTAAGATGTTGTATTGTCTCTCGCTCAAACTTAAAACTGGACGATACGTGCGAGTACGCATTGATGAAAGAATATGTACTCATTGTACTGACAATGTTGTAGACGATGAAACACACTTTTTCATTGAAATTCTATAGGTACCAAGTTTTATATATGTTAACATCAATAACAAAGCTAACGAGAGAAGTAAGGGCTTTGACAAAATGCCTGACATTAAAGATATACTCTGCTCATACTTGACTAAAATATTTATTCACAGAAATTTATTGAAATCTATCAAATTCTTACTGAATATGTCAAATTTGAATAAAAGAATGAATAAACTATGTATTCGAAGCTGGGTTCCATTTTACAGATCAAGTAAAATTTGTCTGTTCTTAAAAAAAAAATACTGCAAGTACTATACATTCATATTGTGACAACCTAGAGTGTGAAGAATTTTAAAACATAACATATCAACTTTATTTGAAGTCATAACATGTTTATTTTATATTTACAAAGAGACTGTGTAGCAATATTTTCTATAATCAAATTTGAGCATAGGATATCTTTAAAAAAAATGAAATCTGTGATACGAAATCAATATTTTTGTGCCGCACGGTTTATTGTTAAATGTACGAAAAGAAGAAGGTTATATATTTATAAATGAACTAGTATTTCATATTGGCAATTAACTTATTTAAACGTAAACAATCTTCAAAATTGTTTAAAGATAACAAGAAGTAAATAGCATCCTTACATTGTACACAATTCTGAAATATTTTTTTTTTTGAATTTTGATATGCTTTGCTAAAAATCTTGATAACTGGCTACCACTGTATGTCCGATTTTTTTCTATATTTAACATATTTTCTATTGAATTAATTACAAATCATATTAATCAAATGTATATAGTTTAAAGTGACCTTTAGGTTCAACGTGACTGGGTGTTGTAATTTGTTACTATGTTGTGGCTATATAGCTGATTTATCATTTGTGTCTTTTCATTTTTGACAATGAGTTATATAGTGTGCATGAAAGTCAGCACATTTTAAAAACACGTTTGCTGTTTCTACAGAGTACAAAATTAACGACAATGCGATTTTGTTTCTGATTTTTAATAAGCTGTTCATAATAGTAATGGTTATAAAAATATTGGTTTATCGTATATAAGCATATTTGCGAATGTTATATTTGATTACGTATAAAAAAATCAGTTAATTTTAACTTGTCAAGATAGGAATTATTATATTCTTCGTCAATATAAATGCCATATTGTAATGAAAGCGCAAGTAAAATGTAAAACGAATTTTTGTGCTCATATATTAGCTTGTAAACAACATATGTTTTCTCGACTGTTACATAACATCATGACAGTTTTATATCACTGTATATTTTGAGACAATTAATAATGAGTGAATAGGACTATTTCGATGAGGAAACCTTGAAGACGATATTAAATTGATGAACAATTAAGCAAAACATGGAATATTTTAGAATAAATAGTTTTCACAAGACTGACAGTTATATAAACTTTAAATGTTATATTTACATAATTCAATTTACCAATTATCATAAATTTATCACTTCAGTAGAATGTAGCATTATGTTTATACCTTATTTACTAATAATTTCATCAAACATCAAGTGACAACTTCAATTGTCTGTGTATATATTAGAGCCATTATTTATAAGCATTGTGATATTTTGGTATTTATGTGTAGTTTATGCATGTGGCAGAATTAAATGTCTGTTTTGATCGAAATGTGACATTCTGCCCATCCAAGGGTATAAAGTGAATGAACAGTATTAAGTCAAAATAAATACATTTTGCCATAAGTCCTTTCAATTGTATAATTAACTTCGCATGAACGATAAATAACCCTTTTGGCCAAAAGAAAAATTTGCCTGTAACATTCAATTTATTTAAAGAATGGGCAGTGTTTCTACTTATATTTTAACTAAAACGTTTAACAGTATCACCTTTTGGTCAGTCATCATCATAATAATCAATCTTTTGAAATATTTAGTGAATTCAGTTCAATTTGACGATACAAATATGAGCATTATGTTACTTTAGTGTGTAACAATTTACATACAGTATATGGCAGAGCTTAATCCAATCTTTACAGCAAGCTTTTGCAAGCCAAGGTTGCTCTAACACTATTACTTTATTATATTTTTTTTGTTTTTGTTTCTTTCTGTTCTATCGATATACTTTTTTGACAGCACGGAGTTTTTCACACAGAAATTATCATTATTAGTTAACCATCAAATGTCGATAATGGACGAATGATGGGGCAATTGTGAGAAATGCCAACCATTTAAACGTTGTGTAAATTATTATTCTAAATAAATATTTTTTAACCATTAGCTGTCTATGAATTGTTTTTCTTGTCCGTCCAATACATTCTTGTATTGGATGCTGTAGTAACCTGTAATATTTTTCCCTACTGGACAATTGCATGTGTATGACATGCAAGCCACATTCGACAAAACTATCCAAAAACGTACGAAAAGGACTTTGAAAAATTCTTGTGATAATGAAACTTCAAAAATTTATTACTTTGCCATAGATTGTGTGATTTTATTTTGGATATGGAATAAAAATATTTAACACACTTGTCCTATACAATACGGTATATATTTGAACTCATACACAGCTAAGGAACTCATAAGACCCGCCTTGTTGCTTGGCCAATATGGTTTTTCGACTTATGCACTATTCAAATATGTTACCGTCTTGCACAATTCTGTTCAACTTGTAGTTCTTATACCCAATTAGTCCTCACTTATGTGTTTATCAGAAATATACAGCTCTTTCTTTGTAATATTTTATTGCAACAGGAGAACAATAATAAAACTGTTGACGACAGAATATCATCTTATATGTTTAACATCTGTAACATTACATTGTAGATTTCAAAATAAATAACCTTTCATATAAAATTGATATCTAAAATATAAGAACAATATTGAAAATGTTGACGACAGAATATCATCTCATATATTTAATAACATCTGTAAAATTACATTTAAGATTTCAATAACCTTTCATATTAAATTAAAATCTAAATTATATATAATAGCACTAAGATGGCATTTAGAAGCGTTTAAAAGGGACAATGCGCTCATTATCTGGTATTTCTATGCATCTTATTAATAACATTTAAAACACTGAAATTACAAAAGAACAATTGTTTGCAATGCATACCGATGTTAGAGTGTAAGGACACCTGCTCACATCACCCGAATCATTCGTCAATCAATCAATCCGAACCTGCAACATTTTCATTTCTTGTTTATTTTTGCAGCAGCAGCATTTAATAACTTTCGACTTTCAAGTTTTCATATTTCACTAGTCAGATTTAAAACGTTTAAGGGAGACACTGTTTCTTTGTTCATACTCGGACGTAGTGTGCAAATATCGTTGATTCTTGAAGACTTATCAATTATTTATCATATTCCAGTTGTTGAAAATGAAACTTAAAGAATATCTGAACATCTATATGGCATAGAAAGATATTTATAAAAGAATTTCAGTAACACGGTTATACAATAATGTTTCACTTAAATCTGATATGGTATATCAATGTTTAATCAACACTTAAAATAAAACCGTTGTAAGTGTAGCATCAATACCGTATAACAAAGACAAGTAAAGCCAAAATAGAAGATAACTATATACTCACTTCATAAACAACAAACAATTTAGTTTTGCAAAAGGCATGTTTATTTACGCGTGTTTTACAGCTTTTTTTCAAATATTGTTCAGCAATTTAACAGATAAAGAATATCTTGACACATCACTTTATCATTAGCCATTCTCTTTCACAAGTAATTATTCAAATTATGGCATTAAACAAATAATATAAAAAAAACATTTTAAGAAGGTTGATGTTTTTAGTCTATCCTTCCTATCAAATCAGTACTTTTAAACTTAAATGATATGATTATAATATTAGATAATATTAAAATTATTATTTCTATTTTGACAGAAGCTAGTTAAGTTCAGTTCAAGTTATTTTGCAGTCAAATTCGTCTCTTCGAAAACTAAGAAAAGAAATTGTTTTAGACGATTGGTTGATTGATCTATAAATATAGTTTTGCAGCAAATGCTTATATTAATTCTTTTTTTAAAAAAACGAACAAAATGTAATTATTTATAAAGCAAATGCTTAATTTCTTCCATAAAAACACGAAAATCAACAGTCATCATGCATGACTAAGCTTTCACTCAGGTTTAACTGTGTTGTAATTCCAAAGTTTGTTAGTCAATGTGATATATTATGATACATTGCACCAGTTTGCGACCTAGTACTTGAAATTAAGCTGGCTGGTCGGAAGACAACCTGTGTTGAAGACTGTCACGTTGAAGGGGTTGAAGATCCACACAACATCTGAATGACATTCATATTCCTAAAAAAGACAATGTATTTCTTTAAGAAAAGAAAAAGAGGTCTTCGTCTATCTATCCATCTATTTATCTTTCATTAATGTCAAACCCCTCGTGAGGACGTAGACATGTCCGCGCGTCAAAATCGCAAGAAAGTTAAAAAGAGTTAAGAACAGTAAGAAGAATAATAAATATGTTTAAACCAGGGGGTGGCGGGAAAACTAGGGTGAGATATGTTCAATGCAAGCTATGGATTCACTGAACTGCTCAGGAGTAGAGAGTAGAGCAATTTATATAAGTTATACAGTCCAGTCTAGGAAAGAAGGACACTTTTTTTTAAAGCGAATAACCTATAACACAGGATATGGCCATGGTGTGATGTTCGGGAGGGGTATCACATATTCTTCTAACGGGATAGCAACAAGACCATAGTGGTCTAAGAGTTCTAGTGTTCTAGTTTTTTCAGCTCTTAAAGTATCATTAATTTTAATACTTTCAGTATAGAGGATTTTACTATGACTATGGGTGTGAGAGCCCTGCTCGATCCATTACTGTCATGAACAGACTTGCGGGGTATTTTAAGGTGGACATGGGGTGATCCCGTTGAGCTTATGGTTATCTCCCGTTCCGTGCGTAATAAAAGATGAAAAATAACAAAAATTATCTAAACACACATTTTGGTGGAAAGGCAGAAGTGTTTTAACTTGAATTTGAGTATTTGTTATGAAATTGTCAAGTTTGAAACGATAACAAATACGAAATACGAGAGTCAGAAATATGTTTAAATAATCAGTAATGTCAGTTCAAACTGGAACAAGTTAAATGTTGATGCCGCACATCAAAGACGCCGCCAAATGATGTGACCAGTCAAATAGCATTGAAAATCGCTCTCTATTACAGTTGAATATCCGAAGCACAAATCAATTGTTTCTCCATTTTCTTGGTATAATAATACTTGTGAGAAAGTAGAACCTAATGAATAAATTCACAAAATTATGCCAGGTCTGAAATTCTTAAATGTTCGTCTGTTGCGACAAAGACTGAAACGTCTGGTCGAATCAAAATGAATTGGATAACGAAAAAATGAAATGATTGGTATACTTATAATAAATTCAACACAATATGTGCCGAGAATAAACCCATTTAAATATTGGTACGAATTGCATAATGTTCGAATGATTTTTAGGACATCTGCAGTGATCTCCCCTTACAGGCCGAAGCGAAACCGGTTTGTTGTACTTTCTTAACAGTTGAGTGAGAACCGCCTCTCTGATAGTGGGCGTGGTTTAAACTTTGTAACCTTGTAATTTAATGATTCAACAAGTGATATTGATCAAAGTTGTCCTGGTTCCCTTCTACCCCGTCAACGAAGACTATAAGCAGCATAATATCAAATTTAATATGACAATTTAAGGCGGAGCCGAACTTCAACAGAGGCGAAGCAAATGAAGTAAGTGACACTGCCTCAGTTGTCACCTCTCTCCACGGTTAAGTTTTAGAACGATCGACTATAGACTGGCTCATTGGCACGTTATTTATTATGTAGATAAAATTAGATAATGATGAAAAGAATATGATATTCAAACATGGCACTATCACTTCAGTTAAACGTTTATTCTAATCCCTTAAAGCTCTGTGACATGTTGTACATCATAAAAGCTATTTTATTAGAAGATTTAAAAACAGTGTGATTTTGTTAAAACAAAACAAAAACTACACAAAATCAAGTCTAGAATTTCCCCCATTGCTGTACGGACAAATGCATATCTACTAGAAGCCGTTTGCAAGCGGCGTCTAATAAAAGAGCAATGATTTGAAAGTTTTAAGTGTACGTAAATTGAAAAATAACAGACTTTTTAATTGAATCTTAAAAGCAATAACGTAAACATTTTATTAACGGAAAGCCATGTCAAATTAAACTTTGTTTTACTGTCAAATAGTTGATGAAACTTTTTCTCACCTCTCCTTTGAAATAAGTTCCAATGAAAGATACTCTGTATAGGTCCCAATTGGGAATATTCTGGAAAAAAAAAGAGTTTAAAATCATCAATTTTTTAATGAAAGCATCAACACATTTCAAAAGTTGTCAAAATAATAGAAAATACAAATGTTTTCAACCTCGACAAATGTTCCAATATGTGTGTGTAAAAACAATTTAGTTTTTTTGCAACAGTAAAATATTTATTTTTCAAATATAAAGATTAAACACTTCTTTCCGAATATGAAAATGATACACAATTTGATAACATCTATCTACATTGTTGAAATGTCCGTTAAATCACTTTCTAGTTTCTTGTTATAAAGATGTTTTCTTCTTGTATGTTCCTTAAATAATGTGTCAACAAACGTAGAAAGTATATGCAAGTTTTTTAATGCACTTTTTTATAATCATATTCGGGTCATTTTGTGGTGAGTCGCGTCGTTGAAGTAATATTTTTCCTACCCGTATATATGAAATTGATATGTAAAATCCTTTTTATCAAAAACTATCAAAGAAACAACTTACTTCCTCCAATTTGAATGCTGTGATAGGTTGTTTTAACTGACCAGCAAGATGTTCCACGGCCAGGTTTGTTGAATCTTGTACCCTATTGTTATCCAATCTCAATGCTTTCCATCCATTAAGATCGAAAGGAACGTGAACAGATATGCACAAATAAATCAAACTGAATAAAACGAGCACTCCTAAACTTGACTGATGCATTGTTGATTCTATTCAACAAAGTCAACAGTTTTGTTAAAACGCTCAGTATACACGTTCAGCACAGGCGGAGTACTGAACGAAATTAAGTTATAATAACCATTTCATTAAAAAGGAATAAACATTTATTTAAATCATCTAGGTTTGTCTTCTATATGACAGCTTGTCTCGAATGTGAAACAATGGTACAAATGCGGCGTATGACTTAAATATGCGGTTTATTACAAATGAATGTTAAACACCCATTGTGAATTATTCATTGATTACACAATGGGCAAATAATGGGAAAAGGTGCATCCGTAGGTTTTATAGCACTTACTGTTCATTTCTTGTTATTTCCTGACTAATTATGATTTTCAATTTAAGCAGTCATACATACGTTTATGAGGATTGCGATATTAAATGATTCAAGTCAACAAAATAAACAAAAATGTCACTATAATAATACGGTAGAATTAATTGGTTCTATGTTACAGCTAGAATGTGTTAGCAACAATTGGCCATAATAAACATCTTTGGTATTTCACATTCACCATTCAGGCTTTTTATATGAACAACAATACATAATACTTTTCTGCACTAGATTGGTTTTGCGCTATTCATTATCTTTCATCTTTCATGGCCACTTCCTGTATTTTTATTTTTATCGCTCACAAGTGAACTCTTATACAATAAACTCAAAAATCAACAAAAACGGCAACTTTTAAGCTTTATTAATTCTCATAATGTCAAAGGGGCATGCAATTTGTATATCAAGATATTTAAAGAATAATGAAATAAACACGTCACATGCAGCTTATTGTACCAAAAATTCAATGTTTAAAGACATGGTCATAAAAGAATCTATATAACCCCTAGCATCTGAATCAGAATTATATGTAAATTATTATAGAGGAAAGATATTCTAATTTAAGTAATTTTCAGTGCATTATCGTATGTATAATTTCGCACTGTTTGATTTAAGATACATGCTTGTATTTAATCACGAAAGCCAATAAGGATATCCTTTCACCAAGCCCAGACTGTCAAATTGTTGTTCCGTCTTCCTTTATGTGAGTGTTAATATTGCAATTTAAAGTTTTTTTCGTTACATAAAATATTATGGACAAATGTATACGGATATCTATATATCTTTATGTAAAGATAAAACAGACTTAAGATATTACCATCCTCATGCATTACCTCCGCTTTGAAGAGTATTCAAAAAGGCTAGAACTACTGTTAACTACATTGAAAATAAGGGCCGTGGGTTCAATCCCCAGAAGGGTCAACTTTTTTTCTTTCTTTTTTTCTTTTAACATTATTTATGTATCTCTCATGTCCTATTTGGAAAGGAAAAAGTGATTAATTTTGATTTTTTTTAAATTTATATAGGTATTTATTGGCTAAATTATGCTAAATCTTGTAATAAATATGGTACCTGATATTTTCAAAGTGTAATAAAATCAAAACTAGATCGTAAAAGTATTTTCATATTTTACAAGATCAACCAATATACTTCTTTAAAAATTTGGGGAAACTTTGAAAACAGGCACTCATTTGGGTAATGTTTAAGGATATTTTAAATTAGGCTCCCTAAGGAGGAAAATGGTCAGACACGTGGTAAAAATGGGTGGGGTAGGGTAGCATTTTTATACAGATTTCATGAATTTTAAGTTGAAACCATAATTTTGCTTATGTGGATTGTTAGCTGAATGGTACTTTTTGTTTCTTACCAAAAATTAATGGGAAAATATTTTTCATTAGAATGTTACTGCAGATTGTTAAAAGGTTCCTCATTTCTAAAAAAAGGGCCCTCATAACATCCTAGCTTGAGTTCAGAAAAGTGGCCATAACTTGATTTCCGTACGGTAAATTTTGTTTAAAGTTTGCATACAGGTGTACTTAAAAGGTATACATCTGACCTATGATGTCAAGTTTTTAGTTCCTTATAGTGCCCATTAGGGTGGTAATACCTTAAAACGTATGTATTGCTTTAGCATTTTATGCCCAGCTTGGTATCGATTACGTTACATCAGGCTCTGAATTAAGCAGAAGTATGAATATCAAAACTATCGTGACTTTGTGTCCTGCTGCGGTAGCTTGGGTGTTTCGGGGGCTATGCCCTGTGGACGTTGCCTTTGCCTTGTTGATCTTTATTCTCGTTTTTTTTAAATCAAAATGCGACACAGTATTTGTAAAAATATCGTACTATGATAAGATTGATAAATTAAATCATCCCATTTAACAAGCATTGTAAATGACGAAAAAACAGTGTGATTAATATTGCATAAGTCTTATACCAACAAAGCTGGCAAATAAATATACCTTAGACATATCTTCACGTATCAAAAGACAATGAAAAATTGTATCGCCATACATTCAGTGAAATATTGCTTTATGATTGCTAATCTTCGAACAATATTTAGTTTAAACAAGATTTCAATCATTATATTTATTTTGCTTTTTAAATTGTATATGAACTTAAATATACATTTATATTAATATTGTTGCACAGATAATCATATGTAACTACCTTTATCTCCCTTTGCTTATGTTCTCTTTAATTTCAAGTATGTTGTTCCATGTGACTTGTCTCAGCATATAAATAATTTTGTCATGAGATAACTGACAAGAAAATAAATGCAAAAATATATGTTTGCATCTAGTATAACAGATGACATTAATTGGATAAGGAAGCTGGAAATGTATGTTTGCTTGACATTCACAATATTATTAGTATTATATGTTATTTTGGTTTTGGAGTGATATATGTGGATATTTTACCTGTCAAGATTTTATATCACCCGGGCCGTTAGGCGAGGGTGATATTTTATCTTGGCAGGTAATATATCCACATAATTATATCACTCCAAAACCAAAATAATAATTTTATTACCTTCCCCTGCCGAGTTAAGACGATTTTAATATAAATCATTGCTACTTCAAATGAAACGTCGAAATAAGATTCCCTTTAGGGTACCCCTTCACCACAACATGACGTCACATAAATACATGACATATTTTCTTTCGAACCTAACGAATGTAAACAAGAGAAAAGAAAAAGTCTGTTCAACGCACTTTTTTTGAATTAATATCAAGCTTTCACAAGGTCATATTTGTTTTCAATACTGATGAGAATATGTATCATTACTCTTTTTTGGTAAATATTTATCATTTGACAGTTAAAAAGTGCTTGTAAATCGGAATTTACATCGCGTAAAATCAAACCGTACGCGCATCGCCACAGCGCATGTTGTTTACAACGTTGGGTACCAAACAGGAAAATTAAGTGTGTATATAGTGCGTCTGTCTCGGTAATATCAATTTCTTTCGGGTGACCAATATCCAATCAAAGAGGAGGAAAAAATCTGGAAGGGTAATAAATGTTTATATTTGTCCGATAGTTTATACATTTATATAAATTAGATGTTAGAAATGGAATTTGAATGTTATAAACATATGGAAAAAAAGAAATAAACACACTTTTTTCAATATACGCCATGCTTAACTTTTATGTGAAATATTTTGTTTGAATTTGAATTTGCATTGAGGTGCACAATTCGTGTTTTATATATGTCACCTTATTGACCGTTCACGAATTAAGGGAGATGGTGTGTAAGTGGCCGAAAAGATCAGTAGGTAGAGCCGCAGTACGGTATTCCGAATGTATCGGTTTCGACTGCATATTTCCCTCGCCCTGTGAGTCTGTGATATATAGATGATTTACAGAGTATGTCATATTGTTTTTACTTTATAGTGCAAATTTTATTATTATTGTTGTTGTTGTTGTTGTTGTTGTCGCTGTTGATGTTATCGCCATCTTCGTTATCATCTTTATAATTATCATTATAAATTTTGAGTTATTAATCACGTGCCATAATGTCATTAAATGTCAGCAAAACAAGAAAGTGACAGAGAATATATGCTCATTACTTTCTAATATTTCATGAATATGACAAGCACGTGAAAAACAATAAGAAATAAAAGACGTCAATCTTTTGTCACAAAAATTATGCACTGTGTTTCATTATCATAAAATAATGTATTTTAATAATATTAATTTGATTTGAGATCAATGACTTGTTATTATTTTATGTTTTTCAATTGCAATGAGTGTTAGTCTTGAAACTGTTAAGAATTGTCAAAACATATGAAATGAGTTGAGTACATGACATATACCGTCTCTCTCTCTCTCTCTCCCCCCTCTCTCTCCCCCTCTCTCTCTCTCTCTCTCTCTCTCTCTCTCTCTCTCTCTCTCTCTCTAGCAATTTTATTTGTATAGCAAGTTTATATATATTTGTTAATATTTACTAAATAATTATTTACTATATCAACCTTCCAGGTATTTAATACATAACATTTTTTTTGTTGCTGTTTTTTTGTTATTAATTTTAAGAGTATAACTGAACTGTCAAAATGATGAACAAGATGTTGTGATTCTTCCTTAAATACATACAATGTTACAAGTTTTAACATGAATGCACGCGTATAAACAATGTAATTTTGACAGGACTTTTCAGTCATAGTTGATTGACTGTCTGTTCTCATGATTAATTACCAAATACAACGCTTGAAGTTGATGTGAATGGACCTAGTCTTGAATAATTTCTTTGCAGCTTTTATTCGTCACAAGCGTAGCATAAAAGTCATACTTTAAAAAGGTTGCCGTTTGTATATAAATTACAATGATTACTCAATAGAAGCTATCTCAAAATGGATTGTCAAAATGAGTTGTCTTCTATATTGCGTATTGCCACCCATCAATATGTCTTTCTGTAATTTTAAACGTTTCTTTACTTACAACTTTTAAAAGGTGTAATTGAACGTTTGCTTGCAATTTGTGTTTGTTCGCATAACACTAGTTTTTATATACAATAACCATGCCTTCTGACATAAGTATGTAACTAAAACATCCTCCAACTAACAATAGACTTAACCGAATATAATTTCAAACAAGTACTGGTATTAGCATTTCCACATATTCTAGATGTCGCTGTTCAAAAAACCTGTTATTCGACACACATTTTGTCGCGAAATAGACTCTTTGCTTATGTTTATTCTTTCAAGAAAAGATTTCCGTAAATTCTTTACTCAGCAGGAGGCCACACACAGATTTCGAGCTTTATACGTGAACATTGTATTTCAATTCAATCTAAAGCTAATCCGACAAAAATATTGCGACTGGCGTACTACGTTGCGCCAATGTTTTAGGCCATTCGTCGTCCATATTGTGATCAGATGGTATTCAATTCTTGATTCTGATTTGCTTGAAACAGGCGGTGTACAGATGAAATTGGTCAAATCTTCATAATTAAATTGCTTTATTCGCATTGCGATAAACTTTATCAGACAACCTATAATACTTTTCAAAATATAATGAATTATGTAATACTTTTACATACTACACATGACATGGTCGAGTGTGGTTAACGCTTCCGACTAGTAATATAAGAAAGAGGACTTTCTTTCCGTGAGCAAGAAACTTTACACTCATTGCTTAGTCCTGGTTGATTCCAGGAACGGATTTGAGAGTGTTTCAATAAGCTTATGGCTTAAAACACAATCGAACTTAAATAAATTCTTAACATGGACCAAAAAGCCCCTCTGGAACAGGGTTAAGGATGCGAAACTCTTTTACTCAAAACCAGTTACTGAGAAATTATAATTCATTCTTTGCTTTATATTTATTTGTGTTAAAATTAAAAGGGGTAAACACTTAAAAAAATACTATGTTTCATGTTCATAGTGCTCTAAAGTGTTTTAAAAACGTTTCTTTGAAATAAGTAAGGGTATTGTTAAGTAAGTAAACGATAAATTCAAATTTTTAACGTTTTATTCCTTTCTTTATTATTTAGTACTATAAGATGTCGCACCTTTTCTTTCTTTATGTGGACACCAATTATAATAATATTATTGAACATCATAAAATGCTTATAAGAATAGCGAAACAATGAAATAACATATAACTCCTACAATTTATTTCTTTATTAACATCTTTATTGTTCTCTAAAAATAACAATAAGTATCAAATCTTGAAAAACAATGTTAATACATTTTGAGTAATTCATGGTGCATGAACCATTGCATGAATTTTATAAACCCTTTACAACATGGGTTCAATTGGATATGGGTTGTTTGTCCGATTGTCGTTTTTTCAGGCTTAATAACCTTTTGTAGCAGTTTTCTCCTTTGTAGGGGCTGGTCCCTTGTAAGATGGAGGAACAACCTTTGCATTTGGAACATATTTTGGTTGATATGAAGGAGCCGGAGGAGCTACTGTAGGAAATGGAGTAACATAATTTTTACCCTGAGGTGAAGCTGTTTCAGAGGGTATGTCAAGGCCAAATAGCTTGTAGATAAGCTCTGCTTTGAAAAGGGCATCATCATACGCAGGGGCCTTTGTCGGTAACGATCCGTATGTTGATTTGCTAGAGTCTAATTTCTTGTACGTTGTCTTTGCCTTTGTTTGGATTGGCTTATAAGATTCTTTTTTAAACTTTGGTGCTAGATTGTAAGTGTTTTTCGTTGCTGTATTTGATTGGTATTTTATAGTTTTCACTGAATCTTTGTACTGTACTGCTTTGCTTCCTGTTTTGTCATAAGTGGTTGTTTTAACACCAGGTTCCTTGTTTGTCGACTTAACACTTTTGACGTAACTAATCGGCGATTCAGAGTAGGCGATTTTATTATTATTATTATTCATATTATTATTATCGAGTGCACTATTTGGACCAATCTTGTAAGATGATTTCACTACTGGAGCATAATTAACTGGTGTGTCTTTATTTGTTACAATCTTAGTTTGAGTACTGTCATATGACTTTGATTTTATTACTGGGGCATAATTGATTGGCGAGTTTTTATTTACTGGTGCCATATTATCAGCTGCAGCATTTGTTCCGGTTGACGGATATGTCGATTTCACTGCAGGAACATAATTGATCGGCGTTTCTTTATTTATTTGCGTTTTGTATCCAGGTTTTGTGTCTGTTGATTTATAAGAAGACTTCGTTGCGGAAGAATAACTGACTGGAGAATCATTAATTGCAAGATTTTTGTCATTAGTCAAAGTCTTTGTTACCGTTTGTGTGTACGTTGATTTCGCTGCAGGGACATACTTGACTGGTGCACCATTATTTCCTGACGTTTTATAATCTTTTGTATTTTTGGTATCAGCAGACTTGTACGTGGATTTCACTGCCGTGGCATAGTTGACTGGCGAATCTTTAACTGACGGGTTTTTGTCATTAGCTTTACTCTTTGTGTCCAAAGGTGTGTAAGATGATTTCGCCGCAGGAACATATTTAATTGGTGAGCCAGTTTTTCCCGACTTTTTATAGTCTGTTGAATTCTTAGCGTCAGCTGACTGGTATGTCGATTTCACAACTGGAGCATAGTTGACCGGCGAATCTTTAACTGCTGAATTTTGATTACTAGTTGAACTTTTTATACTGTATGTCGATTTCACTGTAGAGACATGTTTAGTTTTTGAGCCATAATTTCCTATTGGACTTTTAGTGTCAATTGACTTGTATGTCGATTTAATGACTGGAGCATAATTGACGGGTGAATCTTTAATTGTAGGTTCTTTACTATTTGTTGAACTTTTTGTCTCATTTAACGGGTATGATGGCTTAATTGCAGGGTTATACTTGACTGATGGGTACTTTGCTGAACTCTTGGTGTCGATTGACTGGTATTTCGACTTAACTGCTGGTGCATATTTCACTGGCGAATCTTTGACTGCAGGTGGTTCGTAATTAGTTGAACTCTTTGTGTCTGTTGATGCTTGTGTCTGTTTAATTGCGGGAGCATACTTGATTGGCGACTCTTTATTTCCTGAACTTTTATAGTTAGATGAAGTCTTAGTGTCAGTTGACTGGTATGTCGGTTTTAATTCTGGAGCATAATTGACTGGGGAATCCTTGATTGCAGGCTTTTCATAATTATTAGAACTTTTTGTGTCAGCTGACTTGTATGTCGGTTTTGCTTGAGATGCATATTTTGTTGGTGAGCCGTTATTCCCTGCTGTTTTCTTGATTGATGTTGTCTTTGTTTCCTTTGAGGGTGCTTCATATTTAATCGGCGAATCTTTATTAACTGTTGCTTTATCATTTGCACCCTTTGTGTCAGTTGCCTTGTACATCATTTTCTCTACAGGAAGATAATTGATTGGCGAGTCGTTCTTCGCTTGTACTTTCTTACCAGATTCAGCATTTACTGGGAGATATTTGATGGGCGATTCTTTACTTACAGCTGTTTTGTCATATGCAGGTTTCGTCTCAACAGACTTATACGTTGTTTTTATGATTGGGTTTGTTTTGCCATTTTCTTTGCTATATTGTTTTGCTGATCTATAGCTTAATTTATTGATGGTATTAGTATTTATACCTGGGTTATTATTACCTGGGATATATTTCGTAGGTTCTTTGACGTTCTGTTTCGTTGTTGATGAGCTCTTATATGTTGGCTTATCATACGTGGGTTGTTTGTGTGTTGGTTTACTTGTAACCGGGGTCATGTAGTCAGATGCTTTACCTGAGTAAGATGTTGACAAATGCTTATTGATATATGATAGTGGTACACATCCTACATTAAATACTGTAACACCAGGAGGATGGTCCGAAATCCATACCACATCTGCATGACATTCATACTCCTGTAACAAGAAAAGACACCGCTTGTTTATAAACTTATCGAGCTGGTTCGTTATATCATTTCGTTACTTCTGTTTACAGATTACCATAAACTAAATAGATTACCATAAACATTTAGTTAATTTTTTTGTGTAAGACACATTCTTTAGAATAATCCTTTGGAACTGGAAATAATATTAGTAAATTGCTATTTATAAAGATCCGAGCTAGCTATTACATATTACATAGCTAATGAAAGGAAGTGGTGGTCAAGTGGTTAAGTTGTCTGCATCTCTCAATCAAGGACTTGTTTGTTCGAGTCATTCTGAGTCAAATATTATATTTGAAGTTATTGTCATTTATATGGCTAAATTTACAGTTTTATCACTGTATATATACCAACCCCGTAGATGTTTTATCCATTTTGTAATTTTTATTTAGTGTCTCAGCCTGGAATAAACCTTGTAATTTGAAAATTTGACTAGGTATTTTTTATAATAAAATAAATTAAACTCTTAATGTGACATCAGCAAATATTGGACACATGCTGCTGTAAATGATCGACACAATCTTTTTGAGAATAAACAGAAGTAAGAAAAGGAATGACATTTCATTAAAAAAATATTTTCTATTTTATCATTTTGAAATTTTCCGGAGAGAAAATTATCTGACCATCTTTTACATATGTTGCCTTTCGGCAATACAAGTACAGTTTAGTAATTTGGTATTTTTGTATGGAAATTAAAAATACTACTTTGTTTACAATTTTCTACTTTTTGTGAAAATCAATGCACATTCAGCGTTACTTTATTACAAGTGAAAAGCACGTTACATTGTTCTAAAACCACTTTGTAAAGGTTATAAAACTATTGCCTTTCTAAAGATAAAAACAATGTTTCTGAGGCGTAATGTGCCTTTTAACTTTACCTCTTTTTTCATGAATATTCCTAGGAATGACAACCTGTATAAATCCCATGACGGAACATTCTGAAATAAAAAAGGAATAAAATGAACATTTTTGCAACATAACATTATAATAATTGTGGTTTTTACTTTTTTTCTCTGGAAGTCTTTTATTTCTTATGTTTCTATTGTTTTATAATATCGACAATTACAAGTGGGTACAACGTTTTGGTTAGCTTTAATTTACGATTGATCGGTTTGATATTATAATAGTACATGTATTATACTGCATTATTTACCTTAAAATGAACATCATAATTAATATCATATAAATAAAATAACGTCACTTTCATACAATCGCTGTTTTGTTATTGTTAAAATTTCGACCATAAATGAAAATGATATATTCATACCTTAAGTTGCCTCCTTGGAGGGCCTCTTTATAAAGATTGCATTGTATATTTATTAAAAGTGAGAGTTATTTTCGTATTATTAGAGCATACTTTATTCAAACCTTACTCTGCGTAATACCTTAAAATTTTCAGTTTTAAATGTAGACAACAACTTTGAACTCTTTGAGGGAAATTTTCATAATCGATTCCAATTTTTGACGGTCCTATCGTGTTAAACATATGTAGGCTTTGTAATGCAGTAATCAAGTTCAACAATTTAAGTTTGGACAAAGCATAGTACTGGTTGGTTCCAGGAATGGATTCGAAAGTGTGTCTATAAGCTTATAGCTTCCTACACAAACTAAAATAAATTCTGTATAAACCAAAACCAACCAAGCGAAACTTGTATGATAAAATAAGATTTATATTTCATTTGAAAATGTTTTATTGTATCATACTTTGACAGTGACATTGCAGTCACTTTACACCATTGAAATGAAACAAATTGAGATAAAGCCGTTTTCCAAATATATGAACTAATCTTCGTTTATTTTTATTGCATTAATGACTTAATTATAATTAATTTCTGTAGCCTTTTCTATCCTTTTTTACTAAGGTATCATCTATTTTTAAGAGTGTTTTTAACTGTGATACATATCAGAGTATTAATAACAATGTTTTATGATCTTTTTAAATAAGTTACATCTCAAAGTATAAATAGTCATGATTTGAATTTTATATAATTAGAATGCTAATATGTTTTGGATATTGGAAATTTCCATTTCAAAGTTAATAAGGTTATAAGAGTAAGTAATTGAATGCTGATAATTTTGATTTTGAATCGTACTGTCATTTTATCGCGCTCAAGAGATTACAACAGGTTCAAATACTTACCTTATTAAAACGATCCATTGTATCACTTATCTAAATCAATATAAATGTTATTTAACTTTTTATTGTAGTCCACTTACTTCAATCCATTTAAAGGCAGTAATTGGTTTTATTAGTTTCCCTCCAATATGTTTAGCAGCTACTGACATTGAATCCGATACATTTTTGTCTGTTAGTGAAACTGGCTTCCACCCGGTCAAATCAAAAGGAACATGAACGCACACGGAACATGTAACCAAAATACTAAATACCAGTACTCGTTTAACAGACAGTAGCATTGTCAAATCTCTTTAAAATTCAACAAAGTCAAATGTCTGTTAATGTTGGATAAGCCAGCTACGGCAACTTAGCGAGCACTAAATGGATTTTGCATACGTACAATTAATAAACCTGAAAGACATATCATAAATTTAAATAATTAATATTTGTTAATTGCATGACAACTTGTCTTAATCATTAGGGAAATGGTGCACCTCGTATTGCAAATGTGATTGTTTTTTTAATATACAAAGAATTGAAAACACCCATTGTGGATTGATACATATCATGAACTCAAATGCTACCGCAAGCATAAGTCGTGTACACTTCGCCATGCATTACACCTTAGACGAATATATTATTTAACACATAAACCTATCCCTTCAAAAACAAATATGAATAATTTGAGAAGAAAAAAATCCTGTAACCAAAGGTTGAGCGTTGAAAATATTAAAATATATGCAAATATAGAATTTCAGAATTTATTTCAATGATGTATAGCATTTCGTTACATTTTCAAGTAAGTTTTACAGCCTTTAAGTTGTCTTGTTGACGAAACACATATATGTATATTCTGTAAAAGAAGATAAAACTTAAATTTCGATACAACTATCAATGACGAATTAAAGAAATAATTATCACAAATTCTATTTTAACCTATATTATTGTGGTGCTATTACTCGCTTTGAAAAAGGCGATGACAAAGAATTGTCTATACAAACTGTCAAAATATCTTAGAACATTTTTTTACTTAAATATTTGCTTTGGAATGACACGTTCTGTCATCATTAATGTAATTAACTATTGTCATGATGAGTCCTCTTTGTTGTTGTTTATGTTGATGTTGCTGTTGTTGTTAAACATCACAGTTGGCAATTTTAATCAGAATAATCAGAATACACTATATGAAGAAGATACTAACAAACAATAACACTAATACCTCATTTTTGCATCAAGATAAATTGAATTTTAAAAACTGTTGGTGTTTATATATATATATTGAATTATATCTTAAAAACAAAGAACAGAGATTGCAATTTTGATTCTTGAATTTGTGTTGAAATAACTTGTTATCATGACAAAACACAGCAATAATTTACAAGTTATAAACCCTGTACTATTGCAATGTTATTGTATATTTTTTAAAAAGATATTGTGCCAATCCGAGCCGAAATATCAAAATAACATTCAATATCATCCTTCATACATCGTGCTAATAAAAGTTGTCAGTGACAAACACTGTGACCGTTTGTGACTTTGACACTCGTTCAGTTTCAAAAAGACTATGACGGATCAACAATTCGAACTCGTAAAATGTACAACAATTTTCATTAATTTTCAGCATGACATATGTTATTCAGAAGACTAGTTAAGTCTCAAAATAACACTTACAATAACTTTAATTATTATTACTACTTTATTGTTGGTGTTTTGTTGCAGATAAAATCAAACAAAAACAGCATTCTAAACATTGTAACAAGGTTGATTTTGCCTAAAATCAGATACGACAGAAATACATTCTACAAAATGTGTATAGTGTTTAACAAATGTATTCACAACTACATGTAACTAACTAACTTTGATATTCAATGTGCTTCGTTAGCAAAAGGATTAACTACTTCAAAAGAAGTACAATGGGATCACCTCTCGTTCGTGGTTTCAGATCTTCTTATTTCCTGGTAGCTCTAACAAAATGATATTAATCAGACAGTCTATCATTAGGATATTGGCAATTAAAGGTGACATATTGATGACATGATTTCGATCAGTGAAATTAACATGTCACAAATCACACAACTTGCAAAGTAATGCTTGGAGTTTCGATGCGTTCTACATTGAACGCATTGGAGTGTGTAGGATTGCCCTATGTATCAACATTGACCTTTCTGTTAACGTTTAGTTTTACGTTGCACAAGATATAAGTGTTCAATTTGAAATTATTCGTCTCGGTGAAATTTTACGAGTTATAACATGTCATATTGGTGGTAATTTATAACTCCTTAATCAATGTTCACAATGGTATGCAAACAAGACATTTTGAAACCTTCATCCGGCATGAAATTGGTGTTATAAAATGAAGATATTTCAATTTGACATTTATATCTCAAATGTTATTTAAGGAAGAATTGACTACTGTCCTCAAGAGTTATATTCATGATGCGTCAAATATTATATTCTCATTAAATTCTAAAATATACAATATCTTCACGAAAGCGGACAATGGATTAACCTTTGACAGTAAAAGTAATGAACCGTCACGTGACTGATTATTTAATGCACATGATTTTTTGATCTTGACATAAAAAAAAGAAACATGAAATAATTAAACGATTATGTGGCGATGACTACTAGTATTTAATTGAAATTTCAATGATAATATAATTGTGATCTCGGTTATTCATACGTGTCAAAGGTATATACATGATGTATATATACTGTGATATTGTGATAATTTTAACATATTTAAGAGCTAGTCGTCGGTGAAACAGTGGTTAGTTAATATCTTTAGACCAAAGATTATTTTTGTTTTCTTATCTTTACGAGTTATTATTACTATTATTCAATAATTTATTTGTTTTCTTTGAGTTCCTTATCACTTACTCATTATTTATTCTTATGTATGTTTTAAGTGATTAACCTGCCCATGCTCTTCCTTGTGCCCTGTCCTGTTTTTGTTTGGGTCCTTCTGGACGCCTTGCCACTGTCTCTTGTTGCTTGATCGTGTGGGGGTTGCGTTCATTGAACGCCGCCTTTCCTTGTTGATCTTGTTTATCATATTTTATAGTGGCAAAACTTTGACAGTTTTGTAAATTGCTTGCTATGTTAGGAGAAATTTCCATAATTTCGAAATAGTTGCATTAACTTTATTGATCATGAACTCACGAAGGAGTGTTTGTGTGACTGTATCTTTTTATCAATCTGATCCTAAACATGACATTTGCTTCATAATTTTATCTAGTCTTTGGCATGTTACAAATATGACACAAAGGTCTAAATTATTTGTGTGTGCTCTCTTTCTACCGTAAGAATAAAATGATTTCACTCACACAGGCGCCTTTCTTTCATTTTTTTTGTTGTTTTGTTTTGGAATACAGGTTTTACGATCCATCCTCCAAGATGAATTTTTGGTTGGCGGAATAGATTATTCAAACTGCTTTTGAAAGATTTCATAAAAAATTCATAACTTACTACATTAAATAATCTTATTTGTAATAGAGATTTTCTGAGACAAACTGTTTCTTCGGAAGGAAACATTGCTATATATCTTTATATCATATTGAAAATTATCTTTAAAAAAGCCTTTTTTGTTTTGGATAAGGTGGCAAGATTATGATTAATTAAACGCTTATATCAGAAAAATATCAAAAGTCTCATAAATTGCTTAATGCTGTCAGTTTAAGGGGTTAACAAGATGACTTTATTTTAAGTTAAAGGCCTCAACAGACGGTAGGATTTAGTTGTACAGCACTAATTAGAGATAAGATGTACAATTTTCAAAGCTATACAACACTTGCATTCAGACGATAATTCTTAACTGTAAGAATCATCTGAGGTTTCCCCTAAAAAGGATCCCTTTACATTGATCCTTTACATACTTTACTTTTCGCCATGAGTAATGATTGAAACACCTCCATTAAAAAAAAAATATATATATATATATATATTTTTAATGTGAAGCCTGACCGAGACTCAAACCTGGGACCCTCGGAATACCGTACTGCGGCTCTACGGACTAAGCTATCTGGTCGCCTACAAGCTACTTCCCCTCCCCTAATTAGAGAACAATTCAATACCGTGACATAATCATTTTCGGAATAATTTGGGATTCGAACATGACAGAACTTTGGGTCTCCTGTAGAGTTTTTCAACATCATTTTTACCCCATCTTACTACTATGTTTACCTTTTAGCCCTAATTGTTCTGGAATTTCATTCATTACACCCATTATCAGGAGATAATTTGGTTATCTGTTACTTGTCAAAGTGGGAGGTCTGTAAAAATCTGTACGACAATATTTTCAAAATAGAGCATGTAATTACGGAAGCCCTGGAGGGACATTTATTATTTAAAAATTATTACTTATTACCTATTATTTATAACTTATTACTTATTATTTACATATTATTACTTATATTTAGTACTGAAACGCGGCATCTTTGGCTGGAAAAACTCTGTTTACCGTTAAAGCGAAAGTCTATACAGATTTCATGCCCCTTTTCTATACAAATTTATCTGCCGTAAACCGTTTGACAGAACGATTTTCAGCAAAACATCAGGAAAATGGCCGCCAGCCGATGTTTTGGATGTTTTCTCAACTAGACGAGTATGAAAGGGAATACAGTGTTAGATATCATCGAGGATATGTGACCAAAGGGTTTCAGAAGTCTTGGTATGGTTATTTTGTTATGTTAAAAGGTTTATTTTTACAAGATTAAAGCTAACATCTTTATCAGTTTATATCTTTGCGCCAATTGCGCATGGATTGGTCAGAAATACCTTCTTACATGTTAATATCAAGCAATTTCGGAAACTTTATAAAACACTTATAAGACCACACCTTGAATATGGAAATATTATTTGGAGTCCAAGATTTAAAAAAGATATTGAAGCAATCGAAAGAGTTCAAAAAAGAGCAACAAAAATGGTTAAATGTATTAGAAATTTATCGTATGTAGAAAGATTAAAAATTCTGGAAATTCCTACTTTGGCTTACAGAAGATTTAGAGGTGATATCATACAAGCATGGAAATTATTAAATGGGAAGGAAGATATAGATTATAATGTATTTTTTGAAAAAGCACAACTTGATAATCATCACATCAGAGGAAATTCCATGAAGTTGAAAATAAAATCATGTAAAAAGGAATTAAGAAAACATTTTTTCTCATTAAGAGTAATACCAGAGTGGAATAAATTACCAGATTCTGTAGTATGTTCACCAACGCTGAATTCGCTAAAAAACAGACTCGATAAGATTATGAAAAACAAATTTTATACTGTTATACCGGATAATAATCATTGGGTGTCAGACCTCGAGGGGGTTATAAGAGATTTCTGATATCGCGACCCTACGCTGGATAAAGTAAAGTAAAGTAAAGTAGATGATAGACAGTCTTTTGTGATAAAATAATATTGTTGAATCTCTTACTTGTCATAATCATGACAATCAACGTTCATCATAATTCGCAGATGGGGTTCAGATAGTATGAGTTACTTCCCTTACGGCCTTAGTTCCTTATATGCAATTTGCAGTTAAAACCATAGGCACTAAGCCTCTTGGTTTCGGGAGAAAAAGCCTTTTGAATGGTTTGTAGAACTCAAATTTGATTGAATGTAACGATTTTTTAACGTAGATATCTCTATTCAAAATATGCCATTTTTCCGATATTACTAAAAAAAAGCGGCTTAGGGCAACATGATATCCTCTCTAATGATTTTTGCGTATGAGTCAGTGAAACAAAAGTGTTAGTCGCATTGAATGATTGATTTGACATAAACATTTGTTTAATCTTGTTATTCATTGAATATCAAAATATAGAAAAGATGAAAATGGAAAAAAATGGATTTGTGTTATATTGTTTTATGTTATGAATTACGGACAGGGCGGACCGTGAGACAGGGCAGACCGTATGTTTGGATGGGGTGGACCATATTTTGGGACAGGGCGGACCCTGACTCAAGACGAGGCGGTTCGGAATTGAATGTTATAAAAATATCTAAATAGTGTCAATTCATTTCTTTTTTTTCTTTTAATATCATTATAAACATATACAGTCTACTCCACTTAACAATGAGAACAGTTTTAACAAGGACAAGGTACCGCTTACAACGTACATTCTACTGTGTCCCGTCCTTTTTCCATCTATTTTCCCGTCATTTTTTATCGTTTATAATGAGATCGTTTCGGTTTTAGTGAGATATCGGTTACAACGTACATAATTTCTCTGTCCAATGCATATTTTTCAGAATTTTAAGGAGGTCACTTCATTTGCACTTCATTTGCACTTCGTCTGCATCAGTTTGTCACCTTGAGAAAAACCATGATGACCAATAATAAAGGTCAATTAAGGAAGAAATTATTGATGTGGGACGAGATAATGGGTCAAGCAATTAGAAATCAAATGTGTCAGCCTTGTTTTGTCTGCGCTCCGGGTAAATTGTCACAAGAAAGGAAGCGGTTAATGTCTTGCGGTGTTCGTGAGAAATGCAACGTTTTGGAAACAAATTTTAAAATGTACATATTAATGAAAAAACACACGCGGTTAGACGTAGGTTGTGTTTTCATGTTTTGTTGAAATTCGATGATAGCTAGATATATTTATATACATGCATATTTAAATAAAACAAAAACTTCTGACTGCAAAGAGTTACCTCCCATTATATACTTTTCAAAAAGGATGCACACAAAAGTAGAAATTAATGATGCTGGACAGTGTCGGATTTCCCCAATTTGTTCTGTCCCGGTTATAATGAGACTCGGTTATAACAAGGAATCATCCGAAGTCCCAACAATCTCGTTGTATCTGGAGTGGCACTGTACATACATTAATGCAGTTTATTAATTTATAATAAATTTGTTTAATGAAATTATTAATAACGCATCGAGTTGGACATTATGCAGGTGATAATTGACCAATTACAGAGATATAATTACAAGTCATTGTTTCTTAAATATGACAGACAGCAGATATAAATAATAAGAGGGTAAAACTTCATTTAACAAGTTAAACAACAATTAAGAAAAGGGCTGTTATTCACATCTGACATACAAAAAACAATAGCATAAAATGATGATGAGTGACATTACAAAATTGCGCACCTATCCAGAATTTATTTTTTTTTTGGTGGAAAGTGTCTTGATGGAATATTTTATCTTTTTTGACGTTGACTTCCTTCAATTTTAATTCCTTTGACAAGTTAGTTTACATCATAAACTTTAGATGCTGTCTGTTTAGCAAATTGATAAATATATACATTGTACATAAACTATTTTGGTTGTCCTTTAGTTAGTAAGGAATTAACTAATATAAATAATCATTTTTCCTTTATACAACTTAAATGTTATAATGGATTATATAAAAAAATATTACAATTAAACAACTTCAGTGCAGAAGGAAAATATGTTTTACTTATAAGATTTTTTTCAAATCCATTTCCCACTATCTTACGCTACCTATTTTATACTTATAATTGCAAGGGTTACTGTAAATGTTAATACTCTAAGTATATTGTATACATGTACTAGTATAAAATTATATTAATTTTTTTTTTTTAAAATTTTTTTTTTGTTTTTGATAATATTGATATCAAAAGATAAAAAAATAAATAAATGAAATAGCAGTATTTAAATTTGAAATTAATCACAGTCCGCCTCATTCTCGAGTCATGGTCCGCCATTTCCAAACATATGGTCCGTCCTGGTATGGTTTGCCCTGTCTCACGGTCCCCCCTGTCCTACGACCATGTTATATCTTGTTCAATACTGTTCTGGTTGCCATATAAGATGTTTGCTTGGGACATTACAGATTGTTTACCTTCTGATGCCACATAAGGCAATATAGTTAATAAATCATATGAGCTATAATAGATTACATTTCACACATAATTTTTATTACTTTTTGTGAATTAATTGTATTTATCAAATCATATGTAGGCCTACAGAATGCAAATTTAAATTATCTGTAAATAAATTGTACTGCTTTCAGAGAGATGTATGTAGATCAAACCCATCAAGTAAGCCAACACCATGTCTACAAGGTCATACCTCTAGAACCTCTCACACCTCTACAGCTGAGGACAAATCTGAAAGTTTGTATTCATTATTAAATGTATTCGAACTTAAGATTATTTGAATAACTGGAGGAACTTTTATCCTTTGCAAAGTCTATGTTTGCAGCAGTGCTGGACTTGGTTAGGGTTGTGTATGCAATTTTAAAATTCCATATTTTAAGTGACATAATCATTTTTTAGCTTGATTTAAAACCCCAGGGAACAGTGTCTCTGTTTCATTCAGATATGAAATCAAAAGTTGCTTTTTATTTTTAATGTAAATATTTATTATTTACTTACTATTGAAAGTATTATAGGCATTTTATCTCCCATTTGTTGCAGGTGGACAGAGGGATAGTATGAATGCTTCAGTTGAAATTAGGGAGCTCGGTTTCATAACAAGGTACATGTATACACATGTTTATATATGTAAATTTGGAATTTTTCAAGATTTGATACTAAATTAATATTATAACATATTGTCATGTCTATCAATGAATATTACTTGATAGGATTCCATAATAGTTTTAAAATAACAATACAGTCAGAAATTATTTTTAAAAAATCATTGGAAACATGAAGAAGTCCACCATTTTCATGACTTTAATATAATATTCAATTTGAACAATGGAATTCTTCAACAAGTCTCTACTGTTGGGATGGCTAAATGCTTTTTTTGTGCAGAAGACCTCCTGGGCCTTTTTTAATATTTTACTTTGGTGCCATGTATTGCATTATTATATGTGACATTAACTTATTATTAAAATCCTGTTTACATTTACTAGTATACCTGGTAAAACTTCGTAGCAGGGCAATATTTACTTGCCGATCGTGATAAGGACTGAATTATTGTTGGGGAGCAGCATCAAACCCTATAACCCATAATTAAATTGTTTAAACAATATTTTTCTTTCCATTCAAGCGTAGTAGAGCAGTGCAACACAGAGGTACTCCAATGTTGCAATTTTTTACAAGTTTTTCCAGACAGTGATTACAGCGAGGCTTGGAAGATTACTGTACACAATTTCTTAAAAAATCCAAAAACAAAGCCATGTAACATTCAACTAAGTATGTATTTTTCATTAACTTCGTACATATAGCACAAACTTCTGCACGTTTCTGAAAACTTATTTTAAAGGTTGCAATTATATCTTACCGACCAAATTTAGAAATGTCAAAGAACTTAGAAACATTATTAGATGTCATGTGTAGTCAATTTAAGTCAGTAAATCCTGCCACCTCAGTGATGTCCCTATTCAGTGACAATAAAATTTTTGAGACATAAATTTTACTTAAAAGACCAAACTAAAATAGCATTTCACAAATTTATTATTTCAACAGAACCCTTCCCTGAAAATGCTTTCCTAAAACGTCTCAAGGGAATTGTCAGACTTTTCTACTTATAAGTAAACTTTTGTCATTTTTTACAGGTGATTCAAAGAAAACCCAAACTACAAACAAGAAAGGGTCGAATTGAATGGAGTGACATTTTTACCCTGAAGGGTCCTATTAAGATAAAGAGAATCTAGTCGTTTGTGCCACGGCACAAAAATTATCAGACACATAAGTAACATTCAGAAAGTAGTTATGCATTTACATGGAGGATATGACATTTTATTGTATTTTCATATTTGAATTTATCATATAAGTTTGCCAGTTGATCGAAACCACACACTTAATTGCCAACATGGTTGGAAGCGGGTCTTATTGTCCAAGCTGCAAAGAGTGTTATACCCTTATAAACTAGCTGGCACAGTTGTGTGTCAGTTTGATATCAGTCTGTGCTTGGTTGCAATTAAATCCAAATACTTTTCATAGAATTATATGTTTTTATTTTATGTTTATAGCATCAAAATAAATTGATAATCTGAAAACATATTGCAAGTCAGGTTTTCAAGTAAAATCCTAATTAACTTTTAGAACATTTTGCATAAAGTAAGGTGATATTTCTAAGTATAGGTTAGAGTGCATATTGGGTGTTCTTCGTAAATAAGAAAGCTAAAAAGGAGCGGAGCTTGCGAAGCGACTGTAGCTTTCTTATTTACGAAGAACATCCAATATGCACTCTAACCGGCTTAGTGCTCCGCCCATTTTTTTTTCCGCCCCAACACACTGCGTGACGTCACACGATAGCCTAAATGTGTTCATATAACCATATTTGGAAGAGGTAGCGGTACACATTTTCGGGTCACGTGTTTTGCATAGCTTATTCAGGTAAATCAGACAATATCACGGTGATATCCATATCGGTACCCTCTTTGCAAAACTATACTCAAACGCGACCTCTTTGAACATACACAGTCACAGGTCATTCTCTGCTAAAACAAACCAGCGATGGATAACAATGCAGTAAAAATTCATTGTAATAAGGAAAGGAGGTATGACACGTAGAAAAGATGTACATACCACGGAACACTAGAATGTTTTAAATTTATGTGCTGATTTGGTCATGTGCCCGATTTTCAAATGTAACTGCAACTTCACAATAAGGCTACAAAAAGTTCGACATGTCTTGCCTCGCCCGTCACCTCGACATATTTTTCGCGGGCTAAAATGAACCTGTAGCTTGATTATATATGCATCATACATATTTATTATGTTCTTATACATATCATCTTCGGACAAATGGCAGTATATTGTCAAAAATAAATTGTCAAAATTAATAAAAACACCCTACTTTCGGTTTTGCAGGCGGCACGGGCTGTAATATTTACATAAAAAGTAAGAAATAGTACATAGAAATCTACATATACTCTGTTTGGAATAAGTGAACTTTTTATTGGGAATTATAAAATGATACTTGGTTCCGTAAGTAATAAAACATTTTTTACTGTTATTTTGCCTGTTTTCAATTTCAATGAACCTCTTTTTTAATTCTATGCCGTAGTGACGATATACATGTGCGTGTACGCGAAAAAAACATAATGCATAAATATTGATTAGTAGGAGTAAACTTCAAGATCTCTGCACATGCGTATATTTCACTTTAGCGCTCTTCGAAACTTAGCTCCGCCCACTTGCGTTTTATAATATAAAACGTCCAGATTATATAAAATCTGTTCTATTAAGATTTGAAACCTGAAAATTTTAAAAATCCTCGTCGGTGATTGGCTTAAAAAAATTGGCGAGCACTAAGTTGTCAAAGAAAAGCTTTTGCAGCTCTTTATAATTAAACATGGCATGGCACTTGTATCTATAGCTTTGTTCACCATCCAAGTTATACATGTACTCAAATTTTGTGACGTTTTTTAATATATTTTTCCCCATATTCCTAGTACAGTAATTTGTTACATTTCTCTTTCCTCTATCATTCTTAGTTTTTGTATTTAATATTTTCCAAGTGATTAATAAAAACAATAAAATTTCACAATTATTTATAATTTTTTATTTACTTGTGTATTTCATGCAATGAGGCTAAAAATGTAAAAAAAGTAATTTTTGAAGAAATTTTTTTTTTAAGTTAGACAGTGTTGCTTCAGCCATCAATATGTTAACTTGTCATGTAGTATGTACACAAACATACTGGGAGAAGAAACAGATGTTTGGCTTAATGAAAGTACAAAATGTTTTTGCTTATCGTTTTCCAATGAGAAGTTACAATGCACAAGGTTAAATTACTTTTTTGGATGATGTTCTTTTCTGTGGAAAGACCAGGTGTTGCTTCACAATTGTTTTTTTTCCTCATTAATATCATTAAATGTAATTTCAATTTTGGCTTTTCGCTTGATATATTGATGTCCTGTGTGAGCATCTATTAGCAATACATGTATCAATGAGTGTCATGAGTTAACTTTTTGAGACCATAAAGTTACAAAATCAAAACTATATTACAGCTGTTAATTGTTTTGTCTTTTCTTTCCTGTGCTCAGGTTTGGTACTGCTATGACTTACTCTTTCGAGGGAGTGAACTTAGATATACAATTGTTATTACTGGTGTAGAGGGAATGTCCACTTTTATGTTGACACTAAGAAATTAAAATTGTCTTGGTCTGTAGTAGCAATGTAGTTTTGAAAAAGTTCTTGCAATTTTAGATGAACATGATTTGCTCCTACCAGTACTTTTATGGAAATGACCTTATATATCTTAAACAATTAAATATTTAAACAAGAAACATGGCAATGCCATGAAACCAGGTTTTCAATTATCACCATTGTAGATAAATATGTTGTATTTGAAATACAAATACAAGCAACAAACAATGTAACTATGTGCAATGTAAAACATGAATAATGTAGGAGGAATTGCCACTGAAGAAGTGTTCACTATAATATTATGTATAAGGAAAAAAACAAAGGGCCATAATTAGGTCAAAAACTATCCAATCACAAAAACCCGACAATATGTGCCAGGGTGCTTGATGACAAAGCTTCTGTGAAAGTTTTTGAACAAAATCCGTTGAGAAATGTAGGACGAGTTCAGCACAGAAGAATTTGTTCACTATAATTATATTGATAATTCTGTATAATGAAAAACAAGTTACAAAGTAGACATGAAATAATAATATCATATCTTTTTTTAAATTACCTCCAAAGATGATATGACCTTTGACTGCCAAATCAAGTTAAAAATCATGTAAACAGGATTTTCAATGTTAATGTCACTGTGACCTTGACCTTGGAGCCAGCCATGCGGAATATGCGTTCTGCACGTCATCTTGAATGTGGTAAACATTTGTCTGAAGTTTCATCAAAATTCTTCAAAGGGTTGAAGAGTTACAGAGCGGACAGGATTTTCAATGTTAATGTCACTGTGACCTTGACCTTGGAGCCAGCCATGCGGAACATGCGTTCTGCACGTCATCTTGATGTGGTAAACATTGTGTCTGAAGTTTCATCAAAATTCTTCAAAGGGTTGAAGAGTTACAGAGCGGACACAATTTTCGTTTGACGGCCCGCCCATCCGCCCAGCCGCCATCCGCCCATCCGCCCGCCATACCCCAATCTAATAACCAGGATTTTTCAAAATTGAAAACCTGGTTAAAAAAATGTTTACTATATGAAAATGGCTAAATTTTTAGATTCATACAAAAACAAATGTCAAGCAAAATGTGTATGAGAACATCATACAGATAGAATAAAGTCAAATTGGTAAAGACAACATCATATATCCAGTGAAATCTGAAACCTGTAAAGACAGATCATACTGATTGAAATCCTGTATAGACAGATCATAAATGAATGAAGTCTGGTTTAAATTTGTAATAGACAGATCATAATAAAGTCTGGTGGAAATCTGTAGTAGACAGATCATCACAAAATGAAGTCTGGTGAAATCTGTATAGAAGATCATACGAATGAAGTATGGTGAAATCTGTATAGACAGATATACCGAATGAAATCTAGTGAAATCTGTATAGACAGATCATACCGAATGAAAATCTAA